ATACAAGTTCAGTTGAAATCTTCAAACGTTAAATTCCAACCAGAAAACGAAGCGCATAAACATTATACAATTGTGCGACGAATTCTCAACTAATGAAATTCGCAATGGAAGTTTACTAGCAGCGTGCCAAAGGGTTTTGCCAAATATATACCCCGAGAAAATCCGCTCTGTCCTTGGCATCTGACTTGACATTATCTGACACACCCATCGTCACGTAAATATTTTCACTTTATTAATATTTGTCTACACTTGCCTCAATAGACCACATGACTCCATTTGAGATGTTTCTGGCTCTGGCTTGGTCTCTTTTTGTCACTTTCTACGGTGTCGATGCCCTTGCTGAGTTTTGGCAAGCAAATTAATACTTTGCTCGCTAAAATTGTTCGACCTTTTAGTTTCATTATTGTTAAATGTCAAAATACTGAAAATGAAATTCTCAAACATACATTTAGTCTTTCCTCCAAAAGAAAGTATAAATAGACCCACTGAAATCCGTGTCAGTCAGTCAATTTAACTCTTTGAATAATCTAAGTAGCGTGTAGTAGGCATACGATATTGTTTTCCGTCTTGGCATCTACATCTGAAAGGCAGTTTCAAGAGTAATGACGGCAGCGGCACTCACAGTACCATAAATCTTGTAATTTAGAATAACATTTACGAGAAATATCTCTAACATTTGCTGACGAAGAAGTTAGATACTTCTTAGTAGTAATTACATTAATGTGGATTAGATATTGCATTTTAATCACGAGTTTTGAAAACGTGATGGTTTTACTGCTTTTTTTATGAGCATTTGTAATTTTATTCGATTTTCTTTATTATCGAGTTTAACTAACCACGAGGCTTGAATTTATTATTCTCGGTCTTGAATTCCATTGTGATTTTTATTGAAGAACCTGAGATAAACCTACTATATAGTTTTCAAACTTATTTGCTAAGATGCAATACTGGCTCAAAAATTATGTCAATTGTTATGAAAGTAAAATTACAACTGTCACAGCTGCATATTCTTCTGCTTCTTTCACCTGCCAAATATGCGAGGGATCTAAATATACTTCGCACGTCAGTCACCTGGGGGTGTGACCGTATTGGAAAGTGGATGCACGTGCGTCTGCGCACGCACGCAACATTGGAGCGGCTGTGCTTGACGCTCCACCGGCCGTGGGAGGGGCTCACGTGATTGCAGACATTATGAAAACAGATATAGGACTAATTGAGGAATCTGTGTGGCTTGTTAATGGAGATTGGAACGTCACATGTTATTGTTTTTATTGGCTATAAATAGTACAGGGTGGTCTTGACACGTCACAAGACACTGAGTTCTAATCTAAATAGTACAGGTCATACTTATAATGCGATACTTCAATTTCGAACTCCTCCTATGTTCTTCTGATTAATTTTGTTGCGGGTCCAATGACAGTTTAACATTCCCCCGGGACAAACTTGACCTTCATTGGTTGGGTTTTTATGGCGGTCAAGCTGTAGATCCTGGCTACACAGGAGTTGCAGCGGTGGGAACAAGAGGTGGGAATAGTCTCGTTATGTCCGATACAAAATCGTACATCATGAAAAATGTTGTACTATAAATAGTACAGAATGATAATATCTTAGACATCATCTAGACTGGACATCATGATGAGTTCAATTCATTAAATTGAAATCGTTCGTTATACTTTACGTATCTATTGTTACTGCACGCGATTAATTAGTGCTAATAAATAGCGGTTTGCAAAAAGTTGGTAGAATACGTGAGGTCGGACATGTATGCCGTTTTTTCACCATAGTTATAGCCATTATAGCTTCATTTATTTGCGAGACATTGACCTAAAGTCTACGACTGACGTGTATACCATAGTGGTCAGCATGTGCTGTCTACGTTAGATGTCACAACATTTAGCTTGATGTGCTGCCAGTTTTGTTACAATTTGAAGGTTTTATTAGGCTAAAAACAAATATTTGTGTGAGTAATGCAATGCATCAATAACAGACCTAAATTTTCCTGCATAATTGTATCCTGTGTCATTATTTACTTCGGTTATGTGAGAAATGTCAGTAACATTATGAGTTAGCATTACGAATTGAGTCAAACCCAGACTTTTTGACTTTATCTTTTTCAATTAATGTTTAAACCTACTTGGATATTTCTAGCTAGGTCGATTTGATGGCGTCTATACATTTGGAATAGAGCCTTTCACAAGTTTTACTCTAGAACTCCGTATAAGGAAATATCTAGAACATAGTCTCGATTTCTGATTCGTTTTCTAGCCTAACCAAGGTTGGACGAAGGTAAGTAATCTTCCAATTGATACCCGGGTCCAATTGCCCCCGTAAATCATACAACGGATGTCCACACTTATGTTCCGTATATGCCTAGCATACACGCTCTTATTGTAACAGCTGTAGGTGTCAAAACAGAATGTAAAGAAACGAGTGCAGTTGAACGGACTAAGTCGGTTGAAGACGATATAGTTTTCGTTGTGTAGGCTAGCCTATTGATATGAAGACCTTGAAAGCTGTAATACAAGATTTGCGGTCGGAGGAATGTTTTATGGACGAAAGATGACCAAGGCAAGCCAGTACTTATTATGTAGACTACCTGTATATTTCCAATCAAACGTAATTGAATGGCAAAGATGATCCTGATGAGTGTGATGAGAAACCAATCCTTTCAATTGCTCTTAATTGTGACAATTAAAAACGTAGCAATGATTGAACTGAAGGAGAATGAATTGCAAATATGAACTACTTCTTATGATCGATCATTAACCTTAAGATTTTCTAAAGGTGATCAGAATCAGGACATTATTGACGCAGAAATAGAGGTCTTTCTTTCATCAGATGTCCAGTAGCTTATCCATGGACTTTTTTATTTTAACTAAGCTTTTAAACTAATTGTTGTATGAGTGCAAATCTGTGTGGACTTTGGATTCGCTGTTATTTTCGAAGTTACGTGTATGTAAACAAATGCCTTCGCAGTAATAAACTCTTTGTGTTATACCCAGAGCTTATCCAAAGTTATTTGCGTTCGTACTTTGTTCCATTAATTTACGTATAATTTAACAGCCAAATTAAACGAGTCACTTGATAAAGTTACTAAAATAGAATAAACCTTTTTTTTCTGGTAAGCTGAGCAAAGGATTTTAATGAGCATAACATAATTGAATAATTGTTGAAACCGTCAATATTTGTTTGCAAGAACCTTTGTTCTTTGTTTTGTTCAGATTTTAGTGCTGCTAAACCTTACCTTTGTGGCCATGTTTTCAGATTGTCTGTTTTGTATCGCCAATCACACCCAAAATGGCCAAAACGAAGACAACACAACCTTATTCCAAGACGAGTATGTGGCGATATTTTTGGCTACTTTGGGTGTCACGAACTATATGACGCTGACTGTTCAAACGATAGTATCTTTAGTGGTTGTAATAGCAGCTATTTTGCAACAAAAATGAACAGTCTGATGTCCTGTCTGTACAACAATGAGCACCGATTCTCCCTCCAATGTTTTATTGATCAAAGAGTGCCGTGGGTGGTCACGTCAGAGACTCAGAGGAGCCGCATCCTGCTCAGTTTCGCACTGCCAATTTAGCAGATTGTCCAATTGAAGGGAAACGTGGGGACGAATGACGAGTTTGTTTGGGGCCGATTATACCTATTTATATAACTGAGATTTTCCGGCAACTTAAACTAGTTGGCTGTAAAAGGCTGTTAGATTTTACGAGCGTCACACCGGTAGCATGACTGTTTTTTGCAGGTTCCCGTTTAGTAGTAAAATGTGTTGTTTATATTAACGTACACACAAAACCGGTTCGTTCGTATTTTTAATTTTCAAACACATTTATGTGTTCATAAATGACAGTCCAGTTTGTAATTTAGATCCCGTAATGCAGGAATCCTGAAATACTGGATCCCGCAAAACTGGATTGCTATGGGAACGAGCCGTAACTTGACCACATTGTCAAAAGACTCGATTAAAGGTACATAGCTTAAAAAAATGAAGACATTCTAATAAGCCCGTATAGTTATTTTCCAAGTAAAACAAACGTAGATATCGTCATCTATTTATAGAACATATTACATTTTTGCAACGTCAGAAACTTGCGAACAAACAAGCGGTTGTATTGTTCCAGTCAGTTCGTCAGTTTCTGAGAAAGACTTTGCGTGTTGTGCCGCAATAATAAAGTTGCTGATATAGAAAAATTAAGGTGGCTATTGCTTACTACAGTATTTTAAGCTGACGGGTTTTTACAAAAACGTTTCAATGTTATTACATTCTCTATATTTAGCGAAATACAAATCTACAGTAAATTATTTTTCTACCAACTTGACACAATAATTGATGCCTTTTACACATAAATAACTGGTAATAATAACACGTAACGACATGGGCACATGAATGTTAAAAATCTTGGCATATGATCATAAGCTATTTGTCATTAGGCGTTTTTAGTACCGAGCTATTTTTGCAAAGAATAACATCCAAGACGATTGTTACTTTTGAAATAAAGAGACTATTTTATTGCTGTATCTTATGTAAGGTTTAGTAGATCCACAAATCCGCACGAATCGTATCGTAGTGGCAATCTCTAGCAGATGCAAAAATGTTTTTCAAACGAAATTAACCTTGGATTTAGATGTAATCCGCCTGAGGATCAATGAATGCATTATATGACTAATTCTAAATCTGTTTGCTAGTATCTGCCGGGGTTTTCCGGTGCTTACAATTTAGATACATTGCCAGCATCATTTCTGCCATAGGACTTCCATTGCTGAACATAGGCATCCCCCAACGATTTCCATGTTGACCGGTTGGTAGCGGCATGCATCCAACTTTAGATACATAACATGCTTACCCTTAAAATACATCGTATAATCATTTTAGCTACTCAATCTTCCAAAGTAGGTGCTACATAATGTATATACCGAACACAATTGTTCTATGTTCCGTGTTCCGAATTCTCAGCCATTCATTGTTCCGCTAACAGTTATGTTTTTTGTTCCAGACTGTCATAGGATCGGCACCACGGGTGCCTTTTTCCGAGTGCTCTTCAACCTTCGCCATACCGCCCAAGATGATCAGTCAGCCCTTCAGGCAAAAGCCCTCAAGAGTCCTGCATACATACCTTAACACGTAAAGACAATTACAAGACTAGCCAAAAAACGTTCCAAGTGATACTAGATTAAGTGTTGTTCCTTGTAAACAGTGATAATAGTGATAGTGATAGTGCCATTAAGGATTGATGATCAAGATGTGGTGCTTCGTTGGTATTCTTCTGACGGTGGCCGTGGCGGCCGACCGGAGTAATCTACCTCCTACGTGTTCTAGGTAAGTGTATTAAATATTTATCTTTCTTTATGCGTTACCTTTAAAGCTTCAGCCAAACCACCGCGTGCAGATCTGTTGCCATATGTTTGTCTCGAAGCGCTGGTAGGGCCCAAAAGATAAGGAGACATGTAAAGTGCCCCATAAGGGCTACCTTTTCTTTTTTTATTATTTTCTATTGACGTTCATAAGTGCCACTTGTGGTCTAAACTGAATAAATATTTTTGATTTTGATTTTTTGATTTTATTGGCCTATGCCAATGACAGGTCGAGCGTCCTGTCATTCGCGTGTTCTGTCATTGGCCTATGATCGTCATCGCCGATCTGCACGCGTTGGTTTGGCTGAAGCTTTAGTTAGGCAATTGTTTTCCACAAGGCTAGAAGATAAATAAATTAAAATCAATTGCTAAATCATCACTAGGCGTTTTCTCATTTCGCGAGGCCCGTACTTTTCGTGGCTTTTACAATGAGGACTCTCGAATTGCCCTCACCAGTTGGCACCACTGTAGAGTCAAAGTCAAAGTCAAAATTTCTTTATTTGTATAGACTTTATAGTGCTTACAAATCGTAGAGTAAGGTCCTGTCAGGACAGTTCAGTGTATTGGGTCTACAGTGTGAGTCACGTTAAAGTGTACATATGAAAATAGATGAAACTAGACCTATTTTTATCGACAAAAAAGAGGTCAAAAAATTTTTGAGATTTTTTTAAAAAAATTTATAGAATTTTTTTTCTTCCAATTACTTATTGTAAAGAAAACGTAATAACTTTTAAACTAAGCGGTATATCCTGATAAAATAAAAACAGTAATAATGATAAATAACAGGCGATACTAAAAAAGTACATAAAATACACAAAGAAGGCCAACAAATAATAAAAAATGATACTTTTTGAAAAAAATCTGCTTTGAAATTCGTGTTTTTTTTGTTATTTGATAAATTTCTCCAAAAAATGACCGTATAACAGGTGGTTTTTATTACGTTTTTTTATTCTCTATCGTATTATCTTTGTAAAACCAAAAATCGCATGTCTCTATGCCTATCACAACATTTGCTATGATCGTTTGAACAAAGGCCTGCCACAACATTATTTATGAGAAATTTATCAAATAACCAAAAAAACACGAATTTAAAAGCAGTTTTTTTTCAAAAAGTATCATTTTTTATTATTTGTTGGCCTTTTTTGTGTATTTTATGTATTTTTTTAGTATAGCTTGTTATTTAGCATTATAACTGTTTTTATTTTATCAGGATATACCGCTTAGTTTAAAAGTTATTACGTTTTCTTTACAATAAGAAATTGGATGAAAAAAAATTCTATAAAAAATTAAAAAAAAAATCTCAAAAATTTTTTGACATCTTTTCTGTCGATAAAAATAGGTCTAGTTTCATATATTATCATAATGTACACTATAACGTGACTTACACTGTATAATCGTTATATCGAAATGACACGGATGAATACGGATTTAGGACTGTTTTTCAATAGGACGACTTCTAAACGTCAACGATATTTTGACTATAACATAATACCTACCTGAATTAGGCCACTGATAGAAAGTGATAATGACCTTAGAATAAAAATACTCAATGATAAACTTATCGCATAGTCGTAATATTTATAGCATTTGTGATATAATAATAGACGATACTATCTCTTATTATCAAATCAGTCGGCATACGATAATTATAGTGACAATTAAACCGTAATGAGTTCAAGTTTATACGTTTTACCCATATAAAATTCACTCTGGCTGCAATTGAAATGCAGTTACGACTGCTTATTTGCAAATAAGCTAGAAACAAGGTTATATTTGAATGTCAAAGAAGCATAAATCGAGATTCAAAATAAAACTACGCTTAAAGATTATTATTCGCCATAGAGCACATTTTAGTTTTGATAGAGTTTTAGCAATTTCTTTATCACACGCAAAATGAAAAATGATAACCTCTCTCGCGATTCCCAATCGATTGGATCGTTCGTTCGTTCGTTTCAGCCGAAAGACGTCCACTGCTGGACAAAGGCCTCCCCCAAGGATTTCCACAAAGACCGGCCCTCGCCGCTCGCATCCAGGCACCTCCCGCGACCTTCACCAGATCGTCAGTTCACCTAGTGGGAGGCGTGCCCACGCTACGTCTTCCGGCTCGTGGTCGCCACTCGAGATATTTTCTGCCCCAACGGCAATTTCTTCATCACCCTAGAGAAAACTCCTTCCTGAGAAACAACTGGTTAGGTAGACTTTTTACCCATATCAGCTTGGCCTGCATCTCACCTGATGGAAAGTGATGATCAGGCCGAAGGTGGAAGCGAGATTTAATCGGAATCCTCAACCATAGATACATTTTATGACAAAATCACGAAATAACTCAAGCGTCCCTATTTTTATTCGATAAATCGAAACTAAATGAAGAATGTTTATAAATTGGCCAAGCCTGAAACTAATTTAATGGTTGAAAACACTTGGAAAGTGTCGGTTGCTATAACTATAATGATTTTGTTTAATTATCTGTAACCAGTCCAATAAACCCATAATATGCCATTTAGTTCAAAAACTTGTGACACGAGCTAATTTACTGTAAAGTTTCATCAAATTGCGATAAAAGTAGATTGGGCGTGAAGGAATAAAATCCTTTATCATTGTAAAAATTAAATTCGCGTTTCAATTGTAATAATAATGTAGGAAATAGTAGAGATCTAACTAGAATCCTATATGAGTTGCACCATCTTACTTTAACTTTGACATACCTACGTCAAAATCTGTCAAACTCCATACAAAAAGCACCGGTTATTGCTAATGTAACGATTAAATAAGGTGGTGCAACTCAGCCTTACTTTTTACATAGCCGAGACATTATAAAGTAGAATTTCTAAATTGCAATCATTTCGTTAATAATATAATACATGAGTAAAACGACTATTACTCTTAAACTAACTGAACTATCTTAACCGCTATTGTTTTCGTTGAAAGTTCATAAAAAGCACTAATATCATGAATTTTTCCAGAATTTTCAAGCCAACAGTTTTGTTTTTAGAGGGGGGGGGGGGGACGCCCTACTCGAACAAAAATTGGCACTTTAAACTTTAACATTTTGCAAATGGATCCCTAAATCGAAAAATGGTCTTAAAAACCCCTAAGCCATTTTAAAAGACCTATCCAACGATACCCCACACTATGGGGTAGAAGATGAAAAAAAATTTATCCCCACTTTACATTCTACCCTAAAAAAAAATTTTTTCTCAAAATTTTATTCTACCGTTTTGTCGGCGTGATTGATAAAAATGCTTCCACAAAATTACAGCTCTTTGCCAGTAGTTTCCACGCAAAACCTCGATAGACAGACAAACATATCGAAACTTTAAGGGTTCCTTGTCAGGACTACGGAACCCTAAAAATTAAGGAATACTTGAGATTATAAGTAAAGCCTATTTAAATGTATTCGAGGCATAAGTTAGGTATAATATCGAATTAAACTAGCAGCTTAAATTCGCAGAAACTGTAAACCAGATAAAAGTTTCACTTGATAATCCCATTCCACATTACCCATTCGACCTTGCACCCTACGGTCCGCCGATTATGCTTTGAATTGCATTGTTGGCTTGGATCTGAAACAAAAGTTTTCATAATAGCCATAAAGTGGTGCAATTTGAACTCTATTATCAGTTTCGTAAAGGCTATAAAATAAAACGGAAGATGCATTGTGATGCCCATGGGCGGACGTGTGAAGTACAATGATATTCTATTTATAGGATTAATACTACAGTGGTCAGAGATTGACGTGATTAAGGTCTGGAGTTCGAATCCTAGGAAAGGTAGTTTTGAACACAATCAAAATGAAGCAGCGAAAATGTTACAAATCCATAAATTTTTAAGAGGAGAGCTATCTAAAGTAACACACTTTACAAAAGGCTATTTTTATATTGAAAAAATGCCCTTATTATCTTCTATACAGGGTGGAAACGATAAGTGATCTCACTCGATTTTTCTTAAAGAAAGTCGTGTTAGTTACTCCACTTATAACTCAAGAACGGCTGAACCGATTTAGCTGAAAATTGTCAGGGAGGTAGTTTGGAGCCAGGAGAAGGACATAGGACACTGTTTATCCCGTTCAAAATTAAAAAAAAAATCTGTTTATTTATTGCCATTAAGGCGGAACAAAGTTCGCCGGGTCAGCTAGTAAAGTATAATTCTTGTTATGGTGCGTTGAAGTTCCAAGTGACGTCACAAAGTGCTACAATTTTAAGCACGGCTTGATGTCACTAGTCTCTTCTTATGAACTTTGGCGCGCTTTGTCTTTTTCTATTTTCATTACTTTGAAAAACTAAAGTGAGAAATACGTGTCGAGTATTTTTTGATAAGTTAACTAAATTTTACTTACGTGTCTGATTAATTTAACTTTCAAAATGTACTAATCAAATTCGCAAAAAACCTGCCTAGGCTCGACTCTACCTGTTTACCTTCAGTGTCAAAGAAAGAAGTAGGAACAACGCTTTCTGTGGGTGTGTAATAAGTATTTCACTTAACATTCATAAGTGCCACTAATGGTCTAAATTGAATAAAATATTTTTGATTTTGATTATTTATTTATTAGTTACGTAATTACGTTAGCTGTGTGGTTCCGCCAGAGTATAATAGGATGTCCGCTATTTTTGTGAATGTAAGCGACTATAATAAAAACTAGCGGCCGCCCGCGACTTCGTACGCGTGAATCCCGTTTTTCCCGCTAATTCCCGTTCCCGTGGGAATTTCGGGAATTCCTTTCTTAGTGCACCTCTACGGTACCTAAGCTACGTCCCTTCCAAATTTCAAGTGCCTACGTTTAGCCGTTTAGGCTGTGCGTTGATCTGTCAGTCAGTCAGTCAGTTTCTCCTTTTATATATTTAGATATAGAGCTAAGATTTCAGTCATCAGGTCTCTCCAACCAGTCAAGCTTGAGCGTCTCCACGCTTGTCTTGATGTCTTGTCTCCACGCAAGTCTCCACTTGGAGAGAGTGGGCCAAATCCTTCATTTGTCTCTGGTAAATTGGAGAGAATCGTGTTCTTGCATTGTAGACTACATTACCTAATACCCTATGATAATGATATTGAATGCAAAAATCAAAGTTTTTCGCTGCTATCGACCCCTATGGAGCAGATAGAGTCAACTAAACTTTCGATCTACAGAGACTAATAAAGCAAAGGTATAATAATCAAATTGTTCTGTGGCTTGCATGGGCCATGCGTTGCTAATATGACACGGTCCAGGCGCATGTCTCTATGGTCTCGTACAAAAGTATATGTGCCTTTAGGACAAGTTAAGACTAAAATACTATTATTAATCAGACAGGTCAATGAACTGTCTTGAATTTTAAGGTATTTGGACTTCTTCCAATAATCTTCAACGACTCAAGGACCAGAGTAGACCAAAAATATACCTATGCAGATAGGTTTTTTTACACATCTCAAAAATGTATAGGCTTTATTTTAATTAAGTTGGAACATCATAATTTCCCCAGTCTTTAACCTACCGAGGTACGGAGGAAGTTATATATGTATATTTATTTTCTAGACATATCCTAATGTTTGTCTATAAATGTATAACCACAGAATGTATAACATTTCATGGAATGGACTCCGAAAAAACACGAAGTTGCGGTCAAAAACAAAATTGCGTGCTTTTATGAAATTAATTAAATAATAAATTACCATTAACTTTATTTCGAACAAGCTTACATGCTGTAGGTCAGCTTTCGAGCAGATAAAGAAATCTTTACTCTATGGTTCAAGGTAGAACATTCTTAATAAACAACCTTTATACAGGGTGTNTTATCCAATAATTCGATATATCGATTCTTTATAGGTACACGTACTAGGAACATAAAGTACTAGCACAGATACTAGTGTAGTTATGATATTTTTTCAAATCGTACCAGTGTTCCTGAGATTAGCGCGTTCAACTTAAAAAAGCAATAAACTCTTTACTATATTATTTAGTACTAGCTTCCCGCCCGCGGCTTCGCCCGCGTAGCATTTTGTCTGTCACAGAAAAACTTTATCGCGCGCGTCCCTGTTTCATAAACCGGGATAAAAACTATCGTATGTCCTTTCCCGGGACTCAAACTACATATCTCTATGCCAAATTTCATCAAAATCGGTTCAGTGGTTTAGGCGTGAAAGCAAGACAGACAGACAGAGTTACTTTCGCATTTATAATATTAGTATAGATAAGATGTTCCGCCGAGAAAAAAGTTCAAAACGATTGATCGTAACTTGCCTTCCCATGCAATAGCACAGAGACATGCAAAGTATGCAATAAAAATATGGTAATACAGTCAACGTGGCAGATAGTTCTAGTCTTTCGATAAAAATAAATAGCACGTGATTTATCCGCAAAACTAAGTAAATACAATCGAAGCAACTATGCCTCTGTGGTATCTAGGTTCTACCCAGGTCTAATCAGTTTTTACCCTTCTACCTTAGATCTTAGTGATATAGAAAATGCCGTGTAGTGACAACAGAGTAAAATGCGTTTGTCACCAACCCTACTCCTCCCGTGGGTGTCGTAAGAGGCGACTTAGGAACTACATATCAAACAGAAAACGGGGATCAGCGCTCTCTGATTAACATCAATCTTTGAAACTGCGATCTCCAACCGGAGGCGAGGAGATTATAGCAAAACCCTCCTCTAAAGTAGGGTTGCCAGGTCCAAAAACACAAAAGCCGGACTCTGTTCTTCATTTGGCCGGCCTCGCCTGCGCTCGGCCACGCTCGGCGCTCGCTCGTTTGCGAAATGCAAAAACCCGGACAAGCCGGACACCCTTTATTTTGGCCGGACACGCAATCAAAAAGCCTACCTATGTCGGGCTTTTTCCGGACGCCTGAACACCCTACTCTAAAGTGTAGGAAACTCATAATCCAGTAGTGGACTGCAAAAGGCTGTTGATGATGATGATGATACAAAATTGTATGATTCGGGCCTTAGCCTTCACACGGTATGTAGCATCCGCTAACAGTGCATCGAACTTCGTAACGTGTTAACTTGACTTTCAAATGACATCTACACCGCAATGGTGGAAAATCGAGAGAAAGACAATACGTCATGCCGTGCGTCATGGCACGTCGACGAGACGCGTCCGAGACGAACTTTTATTTACGGTCTGCTGAAAACCGGTTTTATTGTAAATATTGAAGTTATTACACGATGTGGTTCTTTATAATCCATTACTAGACTTGCCATATGGTTCCACTTGACCTGTTTTGTCCTAGAAAGACTCAGAATTACAAATCCTATCATGTAGAGTTTGCTCTATATGTAGGTATAATATGTTTCCTTATAATTTTTTTGTCAGGACGCGTGCATTGTAGAAAACCTTGGAGGAGGCCTTTCTCCAGCAGTGGACGTCATTTGGCTGAAACAACATTATTTTTTTATTTAGTAGGAAGACAAATCCAACGAACCCAAAGACTCGATAAGCTTCCGCCGTTTCGTTTAGGAGTTCCTATGGCCAGCTCCTGCCACCTCTTGACTTCATCATCAGGACCCTGAACATCATCTAGCACTAAAGTGCTCGAAAAGACAAGTCCAACGAACCCAAACTAGATGTAATTCCGCCGTTTCGTTAAGAGTTCTTATGGCCACCTCCATACTCCATCCAGCTCAATGGTACCATAATATTGCATTGTCATCGTACTTACACAAGTATACCAAATTTCAGCTCAATTGGTTAAGGAGAACTGGTTTTAAATTCAGTTGCAAGATTTATCCCATACTAACTAACAAACGAAGTGCTTGTAAAAATGGTACGCATATCTTTTTGCGACTAGTTTTCATAGTGTATTATACCATTTCGGAATCTTGGATAGTTGCGTCAACTTTATAAAAAACTTGCCGCAGTAGTGTTCATACTGTTTTTTTACAAAACGACGAGTCAAAGTGGAGTGTAAGTAAAAATCGTTCAAAATTTTAAGGAAATATCATATTTTGATTAACTTTTGTGTAAAAACTGCAAGGATTCTGAGGGTTTTAAGAATTAGGGTGGACAGCAGCACTACTTAAGTTGCCGATACAAACAAAAAAACTGAAGTATTCGAAAAATTGTAGTCGTGGTAATGTAAAATATCATAAGGGGTGTCAATTTTCGACGAATTTCATAATTTATTGTGTAACTTAAAAAATAATTGAGATAGATTTTTTTTCTTATTTTTCCTAAAGCAGTCATGACTAGGTCCACCCTGCGGCGCCGGCTTATCCTTGAATTTTGGGACACGTTGTATATCATAAATATCCGATATTTTGATATTTATAATAAATATCGGATATTTTCGAACCCTGAAAAATATACGAAAAGGGCGGCCGATTGGATATTGATTTTTCATTCTGTGCATGCGAAGTTTCGGGCACATCTAGTTCTAAAACATAAACAGTTGCCTAATTTATTGCTCTAAATAATTTAGTATACATAATAAATTAGGTAACAGTGTTTATTACAATAAATAAAGCGTATTTACATCGTTGCCCAGCAGTCCGTAACGGTATTCAACGCAAAAGTTTCAGCATTGTAACTCTGCTGGTGTATAGCCGACTGGTTGTAAGTGCGTTTTGGTACTTTTTCAGCCAGGTTCTTTCCTACGTTAGCGAGTATATAAATTTATTTTCTTCAAGTTAACCAATAGAGTGCTATTTGAGATTTAGACCCTTCATAAACCACTTACAACACACCACCGCGACTTCGCCCGCGTGGAATATTGTCCATCACAGAAAACATTACACGCGCGTCCCTGTTTCAAAAACCGGGTTAAAACTATCCTATGTCCTTTCCCGGGACTCAAACTATCGGAATCGGTTCAGTGGTTTAGGCGTGAAAGCAAGACAGACAGACAGAGTTACTTTCGCATTTATAATATTAGTATAGATAGTATAGATTTTGTCTTCTGGTGTCAATAAATATTCAACCTTAAATCCGTTCTCTAACATGTGATATTTGCTTGTCCATTCCAGTGAAATCTACTGCCATGGCCCACTGCTGGACACAGTGCAAATGGCGGCTCTCTTCAACGACTCCAAGACCTTCGTGGACATGAAGATCAAGTTCTCCCCCAACATCACCATGGACCACTTCAAAGATATGATGAAGAGGTAAGCAGCAGAATAATCTAACTTACTATACTTTTAAAAACTTAAAAACCTATCTGAGTTAGGCATGAGAGAGCTGATCTTCCATGCCCTTTCGTTCCTATACACCACTACATTTTTATCACCGAAAATTTTTTAACAGGTTATGTAGAAATGTGTGAAAAATTTTAAAGTAAAAAAAAAAGAAAAAAAATTCACAAAGTTATTTTTTTTATAAAATTTTCTTTTGTCCGTATTTTACGCGTCACAGCTGGGGCACTCCGCTACTCGCTAGAGTAGTCGTACGCGCTCGCACTCCCGACCACGCTTCCACGCGTGTGTCCATAAATTACCAATTTTGGGATGAAATTTTGAGTTACTTTATTTAACTTTTTTTTTGCATAAATAGGATCAGTATCAATAACTCATTACCCAGAATTTTTTTTTTCGGTGATAAAAATGTAGTGGTGTATTTGAGAGTCCTCACATGACAGGACATGAGCTCCCCTGACTTACCTGGAAGTCTTTTGACTTCGGACGCAGGTCGGCCGTAGTAAGGACAATCTGTTCAGGTGGGGATTCTCAGATGGTTCAAATTTGTTGTGCAAGCGTGTTTGTGTTCCCCAGTAGATGAAGCACATTGTCGTGCCCTGCGTGCCCTAACAACTGCACGCAAGATTTAATGAATGCTACTGACAACGCTACTCTTGTAGCAGAGTTTTGGGTTGACACTGTGTAGGTTGGTTGTTGACACGACAAAAAGAGATACTTTAAAAACCTTTTATAAATTAGCTAACCTTGTGGTTCCAGCTGGAATCACATCCGATAGGATCACTTACACCCATCATGATGTGTATGTTGTAAGAGCAAAATGTAGTATGCTAACATCAGGTCTCTTCAACCAGTCTCGCCAGCGTGGGGCACGTAGCCTTAATACTATTTGTGTCTGGAAATTTACGAGGGTCGTGCTCCGCAGTGGAGACTAAAATACCTAATGATGATGCCCAACTGATGATGATGATGGTGATTACATAACCCAATGTGTTCCAGGACAGATTCCAGGCCGACAAGGGCCGAGATCATGGAGTTTGTGCTGAAAAACTTCGACCCCGAAGGCTCCGAGTTCGAAGAATGGGTGCCCACGGACTGGAAGGAGAATCCCAGTAAGTATCTATAAGATACACTAGCATAGAGGATCAAGGCGAGAGTGAATAGGCACTTTCAGGGCAAATCAAAATCAAAATTATCTTTATTTGTATAGATAGACTAATTAAATTAGTATCGTCAAATGCTTATAGGGAGCCTATACATGTCTCATTCTTTTTTTGCCCTATCAGCCCAAATATGAACGTACCATCGGCAACAATGTTAACTATCCATTGCCTGTCATGTCGTCTCGTTCTATCGCAAAGAATCGCCATTTGATGAGAGCGAGAGCAAAAAACGGAAAAAGATAGTTAACAGTGTGGCCGTGTGTACGTACCATCCTAGACTGCATCTTACTTAACATAATGTGCGATTGCGGTCAAATCCCTGTCTTAGAGATATAGAGAGATGCCAACTAATGCTCTGAGTTCGAAACTCAGTATCCATTAGAAATTCACACACACAAGGTAATCAAAATATGTGCTCATTATCCAAAGCGGTATCAACTCAACGTTTGAGTAATCTTTAGTACTACGCAAGCAATGTAAACTGTTTACATTATGACGTCGCTGCTGTCTGTTTTTGGGCATATTGCTGCGACACCGGCCCCGCCCCCTTGTCACATCTCCCTTTAGTCTCTGATATGTCAATGACCCTATTTTCTATCCCGCAGAGTTCCTAAGAGGCATCAAGGATGCCCGCCTCAAGCAATGGGCGTTTGAACTGCACAAGCTATGGCTGGAGCTTGGTCGCAAGATGACGAACGACGTAAGGGACAACCCTGAACTGTACTCCATCATTTATGTCAACAACCCTATCATTGTACCTGGTAAGTCATAAAAGTTTATTTTCTGCATGTAAGTCGAACCTTAATTTCAAACTCCTCCTATGTTCTTCTGATTAATTTCGTTGCGGGTCCAATGACAGTTTAACTTTCCCCCGGGACAAACTTGACCTTAATTGGTTGGGTTTTTGTGGCGGTCAAGCTGTAGATCCTGGCTACACAGGAGTTGCAGTGGTGGTAACGAGAGGTGGGAATAGTCCCGTGCATGTAAGCTTTTATACGTTTCAGTATTTTAACCCTATACCACTGCTTCGGGACAATAAGTGGCCAATGAACTGTCAAAACGAGACTCCCATAGATTTTGTAAGACAATACAAGCCGATGACGTCACTATTTTGGCAACTCAATTGACTAACGTTTTATTCCATTTTTCGTATGGTCCATATTTAACAGAACTATAGATCGCTTCATCCAAGAAGACGCTCCCCACCATTCTTCCGCTAATATTTGAGTGTTATCGGTACACGCTAAATTATCCATGAGTGTACGCACACTACAATAATGCCGCTAGGATTGCTCGGATCAAACTCCCCGCTCCCCGCGCTTCCCTCGACCAACAATTGGTGGAGCGCGTCTTCGTTGATGAAACGAACTATAGCGTTTTTTGGTGAAACTGGTGATAGATAACTACAAAACCATTGACTTTCAAACTGTTACTTTCCAGGTGGACGCTTTCGGGAGTTCTACTACTGGGACTCCTTTTGGATCATCAAGGGACTGCTGTTGTCTGAGATGCGTGATACGGCCAGAGGGATGGTTTCCAACTTCCTGGATGTGGTGGAGAGGATCGGCTTCATCCCTAATGGGGGGCGAGTTTATTATGCGATGAGGTAAATAAAAACATCGAGAATATTGTTCATCATATATCTATAAAAGCGAAAAAGGTCACTGATTGACTGACTCTCTCACTTATCACAAAATCTCAGAAATTACAAGTGCTAGGAGTCTCGTATGAAGGTTCCTTTTAGAACATAGGTGCTTACTAAGACGGGATTTTGCAAAATTCAACCATTAAGGGGGTAAAACCAGGCCTGTTCATCTCCGCGAGTTTACATCGAAAACAAAACACGCACGATTGCCCCCTACAAGAGTACTATTCTACAAGGCCTCACATACGAGCGAACATTGACTCACGCACGCGTATTCTTGTGTATGATGGAAACAATAAAGAAAATGGTGTACTAAATACTGTGCATTATTTAACTGCCTAAATAATAATAAAAACACAGAATGTACTTTTTTAAGTTGCCTCAAGACACTGAGAGGTAAATAAGTAGTTAATATTATTCATGATAATTCATGCTAAATCATGTATTTCCTCCGCCATTTTCTGCAGATTGGCACCTCACGTCACATCATTTTACCGAAGTCAGCCCTATAGCTTCGGCGCAGTACCGATCACTGACGTTTGTCAACAAAACTTCTGACAAACTTGCTTGACTCTTGAGACAAGCTAAATTACACCATATTGTTAATGACATTGAGCATACATTTTTTTAAATACCTTCGTGAAGTAAAACTTCTGTACGTAGTACTTATTATTATTCTGTGGTAAAACGGGATCCACGCGTACGAAGTCGCAAGTGGCTGCAAGTTACATACAAATGTTTCTATTTTGTGGTGACCGTAACATATTTGTATTTTGAGATGTTTTCCACGGACTATTTCAAGTTTAGGGCTTATAGTAGTGCAAAGGAGTTAAAAACTCATAAAACTCATTTATTTTTGCAAATAGGCTTTTAAAAAGCACTTTTACACGTCCCAGTATTAATTCTACCACTGCTTCGGGACTATAAATAAGCCAGTGCTGAGAAGAAGCAGCGCAAGAAACTCCGTCACTATTAAAGTTGAATATTAACTATAGTCTGGTCCGCGAGCACGTAGAATTTTGTCCAATGACCCCAAGCTACCCATCCTTATCGCTCGCGCGTAATTATGTTGCTGTTGCGTTCGCACACTCACTGCGGGCGCGCGTCGCACAGTCGCGACAGCAATATAATTACGTGCGAGCGATAAGGATGGGTAGCTTGGGGTCATTGGACAAAATTCTACGTGCTCACAGACCGAGCTTTACTATTTATTTCTGCAGATCTCAACCCCCCCTTCTGATTCCGATGGTGAAGCTGATAATGGAGGACAGTGGCGACATCAACTTCCTCAAGCAGCACATACACACGCTCGACAAGGAATTTGACTTCTGGATCAACAATCACACTGTGGAAATCGAATCACAAGACGGACAGAAGTGAGTTAATTTAATTTACGGCCATTACTAGCTGTTGCCCGCGGCTTCACCCGCGTGAAATTTATTTTGTCACAGATCGTTATAAATTATAGCCTATATGTTATTCTGAGTTATAAACAACAATACTGTAAAGTTTCATCAAAATCCGTTCAGTAATTTTAGAGTTAAGAGTAACAAACATCCACGCAAACTTTCGCATTTTTAATATTAGTAGGATGGCTATATTTATGGTCTAGTGGTAAGACCATAGACTACAGAAACTAAGGGAGACGTGAAAAGGGGGCGGGGCCAGTGTCGCAGCAATATGCCCAAAAACGGAACACATCGCTCGTGACAGCAGCACATTTTTTTACGCAGTCACTAGTGATGTAAACTCACACTATTTTAGATAGTTTGGGTAATTTTAGTAACGATATATTTATTTTGTTATAGATACAAGTTATCAAGGTTCATTGACCAGTCCCAGGGCCCGAGGCCGGAGAGTTACAAAGAAGACGTAGACAGTGCCAAGTGAGTATTTATTATCATTTTAACTAAAAATAATTTTATTAATCTACAATGCTTATATGAGGCGACAATAGCCCAACAGTGAGGCACTGGCCGACTCGAGAACCGAGGAACGCTGGTTCAAACCAGGGAATACGCAAGGTGTTTTTGTTTCTCACATTTCAGTAGCCTTGGCATTATCAAATCAATCAGTGCTTTTCTTTAACAACATTTTCAAAAGATATCTAAGATATAGACGTTAGAGATCTCATGACGTCATTGGTCATGTTAGAACGACACGCAGAGTCCCATACAAGTCACTATGGGCGGGTGACATTTGACGTCACGCTCAGCTATTTCCATACTTTTAAAATCGATGCATATTCCCTATTACAACACAAGCATAATTATTTAGCTTAACACGAGGAGCTAACTTGATTTTCTATCTACATATTTATATTGCGACAATTTGTCGTTACAATCAAATGCCGAGTAAGGCTGCTCCGGTGACTAGTTAACTGTGTGTGTGACGCCAAAATGGCGACTAAGAAAGTCTAACAAGGTTTTAATGCTTACGTATGGTATTTCCAGATATTTCGACACCAAAGACAAGAAAGAGGAGCTTTACGCTGAGCTGAAAGCCGCAGCGGAATCCGGCTGGGACTTCTCATCCCGGTGGTTTATACTCAATGGAACCAACAAAGGTAAATAATAAACTTTTGTTTTACTAAAGCTAGCATCATTATGACTAAAGTCCGGTCGCCGAGCACATAGAATTTCGTCCAATGACCCCAAGCTACCCATCCTTAGCGCGTAATTTAACTGCGGCCGCCCGTCGCACAGTCGCGGCAACAATATAATTACGCGCGAGCGATAAGGATGGGTAGTTTGGGGTCATTGGACGAAATTCTATCTGCTCGGCGACCGGACTTTAACGCTTAACGCAGTCAGTGCCTGAGGTATGGGAGCAGCACAGGAGGATGTTTTTGTAACGTCAAACTTCAGCAAGACTTCGATCTCCTTCAGATTTATATGCTCTGTCTCGTCATAATGTGCCACCCTTTATGTACCGCACCTATAACTTAGGTACTGACTGAATTAAACGCTAGACAAACTAGTTATTATAACTAAAGCTCTTAGCCTGCATCACACCTGATGGAAAGTGATGATCAGGTCCGAGGTTGAAAGCGAGCTTCACCCGGAATCCTCAACCACATAGGAATTGGCTATTTTACCACCTACTGCCGAAACTACAATGCTGTTAAAAATTTTGTTATGGCGTCACACTTTGGTAAGAAGGTGGTAGCTAGCGTAGTCCTACCACCAACTAACCAGGGCTGAAAATTTAGTTCCCACTGGGAATCGAATCCGAGACCTCTGGGTCTGACCGGCTACTGGACCATAGAAGCGGTCAAAAATAAGCACTACGAAGCAGGATCTCCCACTTTTTGGTATAGCCATTAAATAACAGAAACTACATAATGTACTTAACTACTAGATGAGTCCTAATATTAATAGTATTTAATTATTTATTTATTAGACTTAACGCATCGAAATGAGCCGGTAAATGAGTATATTTACCAACTGACTGGACAGAAGCAAGTGGGCGGTGAGCTAGATTGCTGTGTTGGTTTTGTGTTCATATAGGTGGACGACTCATACGTGGTTTATTCGTCCATGTTCATACAGATACAGGTTGAATTGTGAAGAAATCCAAAACTAATAAGAATTAGTGAAATCACATCTATTAATTTCATAAAATCGCACTTGTAAATATGTAGTTTTATTGCATGAGATTGACAGTCATTAAATAACTTTGAAAATTATGCTAGAAAGCTTTTTGAGTTTGAAGAAATAGAAGGCGCTATCTTACTTTTTTCGTTTTTATATTTTTACTCATTTTGTGAACTCACAATTTCTACACACTTACATAAGTATTTATACAAGGCCTAAAAAGTACGAGCTAAATTCACGTAAACTTATTTATATTCCCTTGTATCCGTCACCGTAACATTGTGAATTCCGTCAGATTATAATCTGACGTAGGTAGTTAGATTACAATCTAACCTAACCTAAGCCACTGTTACGCCCGTTTCCTATATTCAATCCTTGTCCAAATCCGGATCACAACTGTCAAATAGAATTTAGTTTTAGATTATATTTCCAAAATGTTCGATGCATTTACACTTTAATATTGTTTAAATAGTCTTATAAACAATATAAAAATGTAAAAACATCAAAAACCGCAGATATTTTGGCCAAAAACATATTAAAATTTGACAGTTGACAATCCAAATCCGTCCAATTTGGATTAGAATTGAATATAGAAATCCAGCATTAGTTTACAATCACACGTGTTATATTATAAACTGACGGAGTTCGCAATTTCGCGTTGACTTATCCATTCTTACTTACTCCGATGGCTCAGCGACCCAAAGGCCAGAAGGCCTCCGATGGAAAATGACGCTTTTTTCCTTCGGTCTTATGTGTCGTACCAATCACCTGCTTATTTATCCATGGTTATTTAAATTCCAGGAAACCTGACAAACTTGAAGACGCGTTCCATCGTGCCAGTAGATCTAAACGCCATCATGTGTGGCAACGCGCAGCTTATGGCGGAGTTCCATGAGAAACTAGAGAACTTTGCTATGGCGGGCTATTACCGCATGATCCATGGGCAGTACATGGAAGCCATTGAGAAGGTTAGTTGTTGGACCTTAAGCAGGAGACCATAAGGTTTAAAATGTGGTGGCAGTAAGCAAGTCAAGACGATGCATGATCGGTACATAAAAGCCGTTGAGAAGGTAAGGATTTTTGGGCCTTATTTGCGAGACAATAGGATTTAAAATGTATACCAGTAAGCAAGACTGGATGGACTTCCTCGAAAAACTTGAGAATTTCGCCATGGTGGGCTATCACCGCATGATCCATGGGCAGTACATTGAGAAGGTAAAATAATAAAACTCTGGACTCTTGACTTGCGCTTATATTTATTTATTTAAATTATAGTTATTTGTGTTATAGTTATTTATACTCTGCTTATAGTTATTTATGTTAATCTGACGTTTACTCCCGAATTAAATCGCATGACATGACAGAACTTGCACAGTAGCCTTAGGCTGAGTTGCACCACCTAACTTTAACGGTAACTATGACGATAACCGGTGCTTTTTGTATGGAATTTGACAGATTTTTGACGTTTGTCAAAGCTAAAGTAAGATGGTGCAACCCAGCCTTATTCACGTAACAAAACTTTAACGACAACAAATCGCTGAGTTGCGATCCTATCGAGTAATCGTTCTATCAAAATGACCCTTGTGAATACGGATTTAGAACTGTTTTTCAATGGGACGACATCTGCCCCCCTAGACAAAACGCACTTTTTGATCGAATCGAAAATCGAATCCGTCAAAACTCCATACAAAAAAGGGGCTTTTCGACCACTTATCGACTGGTTTGCGATTATAATTTGCACTTTGTCTAGACCCACTGAACGTCAGTTTACGTCAGCGGACCATTGGCCATAGAGTAGCGAGTTACTAAGGCGTATACTTAGCTATCATATGCTAAGCTAATCTCAACCGTATTCCTACAAACTAAGACACGCGGACTTTTAGGCGTATACTCGTCGAACCATTTGTTTTATGCATAATAAGACAGGTATTTGACCACAATTGAACTTGGTGTTAAGTGCCAAGCTAATCTCAACCCTATCCCCAGGTACTATGGCATGAAGACGTGGGGGTCTGGCTAGACTACAGCCTAGAGTCTGACAGACATCGAGACTTTCTATCCCACCGACATCTACTTAGGCTATTTGCCAAGCTAATCTCAACCGTATCCCTACGTAGTAAGACACGAGAACTTGGGTGCATACTCAATCAATGTATTTGCCAAGCTAATTTCAACCCTATCCCCAGGTACTTTGGCATGAAGACGTGGGGGTCTGGCTAGACTACAGCCTGGAGTCTCACAGGCGACGGGACTACTTCTATCCCTCCAACATCGTGCCTCTCTGGACGGGCTGTTACGACAAGAGCAGAAAGGAGTACTTCGTCAGTCGCGTCATTAATTACTTGGATAAGGTTAAGGTGTGTATCATCATCATCATCATCATCATCATCATCATCATCATCTTTTCAGACAATTTTATTGCTATCCATTGCTGGACAGCCTTTTAGTAAGCAATTATACCCAACGCAAGATACAAGCAATACTGCTTAGTTTGGGCAGGCCTGGCTCACTCCGCGCGGTACATCCGATAATTACCTACAGCGAAGCGCCCCGCCGGCGGGTATTATATCAGTCGAGTGTCAGCGCGCGCCCGTCAGGACGCTGGCGTGCGTTGTAGTATGTACCTAATTCTATGATCGAAGTATTATTTAAAAATGGACATAAAGAGAAAGAAATATTGTGCGGCGTTCGGGTGTTTAAATTCGAAAAGAAATCTACCGGATTTATCTTTTTTTTCGCTTCCCAAAGAATGATGATGAAAGGTATGTTGGCCATGTCGGTAATCAATAATTCTTAGGATAGTATAGGATTCTTCTTTTTTTCTGTAATAGTATGTTTAATTTATTCGTCTAGTGTTAAAATAGGTATCAATGAAGACATTGTAATAAAATAAGTTTTTTTTAATCCTAAGTAGGTATATTTGAAATGTTATTTTTACAAAGGTAAAATAACAGTAATACTTACCTACATACGTACCTCATTACAAATAAGAAGATTAATTATTTTTTCACTAGACAGCAACCCTAACAGCGTAAGAAAAGTTCAGAGGCACGCGATAGAAAGAGACAAAACTTGTAGGTGAATAAAATTGTAGGTACGTAGTGCTGTGCGAGCTGAATTCCACTGTATCGCGTCGTAGCAAGACTCGCATTTATTTAAATCTTCTTGCGGAGTAATCCTTCTGTACCTGTACTATTACTTATTCTGTGGTTTGGGTCTCAAATTTTAAATAGGTTAGTATCTGATGCATGGCCTAAAAAAAATATAATAAAAACAAAAAAAAATATAGGCATGGAAAAAGTGCAGATTCTTTTTCGGACTCAAAAATCCCGCATCTTAGTTAGTTTTTTTTAGCCGAAGCGCCAAAAAATGTTGATTTATGTGAATTAATGTGACCACGAATGGACGGCGTGACGTTATGTGAGGAATTAGGAGTGCGATTTTTAAACATTATTTTAATTGAAATAAATACAAGTACTTACTTAATATCGGGACTATTCCCACCTCTCGTTCCCACCGCTGCAACTCCTGTGTAGCCATTTTCTACAGCTTGACCGCCGATAAAAACCCAACCAGTGAAGGTCAATTTCTCGAGCGTTGTATTGTATTTTGTAATACGGACCGTAATGCTAGATCACAATAGTTTACAATACCTTGTAATCAAAACTAACTAACTGCTTCAGACGCAGAGGTCCCGGGTTCGATTCCCAGTGAGGTCAGATTTTTCTGTTCGGTTTGGTTGGTGGTAGGACTTGTTCTAAGTCCGCCTGGCTAGCTACCACCATCTTACCTAAGTCTGTCGCCATAACAACAATGTTCACAGCATTGATGTGTTCCGGCAGTTAGAGGTAAGATAGCCAGTTCCTCCGTGGTTGAGGATTCCGGGTGAAGCTCGCTTCCTTCGGCCTGATCGTCACTTACCATCAGGTGAGATACAGGCCAAGAGCTTCCTCGAATAAATAATCATTCTTCTCCAGGTGGACATCTTCGAAGGAGGAGTTCCCGTCACGTACGAGCATACAGGAGAACAATGGGACTACCCTAACGCGTGGCCACCCAGCCAGTATATGTTCATAATGGGGCTAGCCAATACTGGAGTGCCAGAAGCCATGCGATACGCCGACGAAATCGCCGCTAAATGGGTGCGGTCCAACTTCGAAGTGTGGAAGCAGAAATCAGCCATGTTGGAAAAGGTCAGTGACAGTTCATCATCAATAGGGATGTTTCCTGGGTCAAAAAGCAAGAGTTTTAATTAGTCCGTTAGTTAACTTGTCAAAATATACTCTACACGTATTTTTCACGTTTTCAAACTAATGAAAATTTAAAGAGATAAAGCGCGCCAAAGTTCATAAAAAGAGGCCCGTGACGTCAATTCGTGCATAAAAGTGCCGCACGTTGTGACGTCGTGCGGAACTTCAACGCACCATAACTATGTAATTATTTGTTAGATTGACAAACAAAAATATGTGTCCAATATTTTTTGATATTAAACATTACGGACTAAAAAAATTTTTTTAGGAAACTAGCCTATTCAGTCATAGGACGTCCACTGCTGAACATAGGCCTCCCCCAATGATTTCCACGTTGTTCGATTGGACGCAGCCTCCGTCCAGCGCTTCCCTGCTAGCCTGCTACCTTTACGATGTCGTCGGTCCACCTTGTAGGTGGACGTCACACGCTGCGTTTACCGGTACGCGGCCTCCATTCCAGAACCTTGCTGCCCCATCGGCCGTCAGTTCTGCGTACAGTGTCAGTTGTGTTTTTTAACAAAACGATGATTTATGTAAGATTTTAAACTGTCGCGTTCCTTTTACATAGAAAGTATTTAGTGTGGGCAGGCTTCCCACTAGGTGGACTGACGATCTGGTGAAGCTCGCGGGAGGTGCCTGGATTTTTAAGGATAGTACTTTAGTAGAGCTACCTCCCCCCCTATCAGTTTGATTCACCTATTCTGGGACACCCTGTATATGTATGTATATTTACAACAAAAAAGTATTTCAGTATGTTTATATCCGTTGTGTAGTACCCACAGTACAAGCTTTGCTTAGTTTGGTACTAGCGGCGCAGTGTAAAATGTCTAAGGATATTTATTATTTACTAGCTGACCCGGCGAACTTTGTTCCGCCTTAATGGCAATAAATAAGCAGACTTTTTTTTTATTTCGAACGGGATAAAAAGTATCCTATGTCCTTCTCCTGGCTCTAAACTACCTCCCTGACAATGTTCAGCTAAATCGGTTCAGCCGTTCTTGAGTTATAAGTGAAGTAACTAACACGACTTTCTTTTATACAGGGTGTTAGGTAAATGGGTATATGAGCCGACATTAGCCCATGCTAACATGTTCATATAAATGGTATGGTGAAGTCAGAAAATTGATATCTTCATTTTAATAATTTTATTTTTCATACAAATCGGATTTTGCAAAATTTATTTTGTATGAAAATTAAAAAAATTTAAATGATGATATCAAGTTTCTGACTTCACCATAACATTTATATGCCCATGTTAACATAGGCTAGTGTCGGCTCATATACCCATTTACCTAAGGGGCCATCCATAAAGTACGTCACACGAATTTCATGATTTTTTGACCCCTCCCCCGTCCTTGTCACAGGTGGTCACATTTCTGAGACCCCCCCCTCCCTAGTGTGACGTCACATGTTTTGCAATTTCACATCGAAAAATTATTAAATTAACAAAAAAATAGCAACAAATAGAAACAATCACGCGCGAGGTACGGTGCGTTAGCGTTTGGCGGCATTATAGACCAGTAGAATTAGATTTTAAATCTGAAATAATTCCTCCAAAAGAGTTTATTGATTTAATGGCTTCATTGGTTGCCCATTACGACTCTCCTAGGTTTTCGACTTTGACGGAGTTGTGCTTAAGTGGTGGGGGTATTTTTTAGTTTAATTTATATTTCAAATTACGCGATAAGTACCTCTAAAAATTAGATTTTGAATTGTGACGTCACGAAACTTAGGACCCCTCCCACCCCTTGTCACACCATGTCACACTTTGTCGACCCCCTCCCCCCCTCTTTACGTGTGACGTACTTTATGGATGACCCCTAACACCCTGTATATATAGATTTATTTATTATTACTTAAGTATTTTTCTTCTCACAGTACGACGCAACAATCTTCGGCGGTTACGGCGGTGGTGGAGAGTATGTCGTCCAAACTGGCTTTGGATGGACCAACGGAGTCATCATGGCCCTGCTGGATAAATACGGAGGTAAGCTATTTGTGACTTTATGAGCTTGGAGATACGGTGCTAAATTCGTTATCAGCTTTTAATTGGGCATTTGGTGACGCTCTTGCCAAACGTTCGTAATTTGGTTACTTCGATACAAAAAAAGTAGTCGTTAAAAGCATTTTTTTGTTATTAAACCACCCATTTCTTTGAAATAGAACAAAAGTAAATGCTTAGAACTTGGTATTGTTATTGTCTCGTTTCTTCGAAAAATAAATAATAATAAATAAATAATAGCTTTATTTCTAAAATTTAAAGCTATGACGTTATTATTATTATTTTCAATTGAAATTAATACACTATCATGACAATCAAGTATCATAATAATGTAATTAATACTCTCATAAGAATCTTATGAAAAAAATTGGATTTTCATTATCATGACTTAAACACATTCATGCAAACAATTTGATGAAATCATTATTTTAATATAAAAAGACGAGAAAGTTTTGCCACCACATTGTTTAAATTCAATTTCATTGTGCATTAACCACGTTTTTGTTTTTTTCATTGCTTTGGAAGTCGATGAACTAGGTATGTCATCCATTTTTCATTCATGTGTCGTATCGTAACTTGTCGTTGTGTAGTTAGTACATTTTGTAAATTAACCTTATTATTTTTTATTCTATTTATTTAATGCTATCATTGGTTGCGGCTTTTATCATTATGTATATCTTTTCAGCCTTATTACTATTTCTTTTTTTATTTATTATCTTTGCATGCTCTCAGATTATTTAATTTGGTGGGTAGTTTTGGGTGAAATGGACTATAGTCGTTCAATAATCTTGTTATTCATAACACCACATACTCATTATCACAAATTTATTTTCAAATATCACAATTTAAATAAGGATATTGAATCATTCTTTTGATATTAACTGTCACCTTAATTGAGAAGATTATTTTTGTCAAATATTTATTATCCGTTCAAGCTACTTTTTTATTTATTATTTTTTAGTTTTAGTAGGTTCAAACATCGATTTAAAAGTAGACAACTTAATTGAATAAATTAACTATAATATTATTGGAAAGCTTTTCTTTTAAATCGATGTCCAATAAGTTATTTTATTTTACTAATTTATTTTTATTTTAGCTATCGGCACTGCATGCATTCGGTTGGCTCTAGACTAATATGGGTATTAGTAGATTATTCTTTGGTTTCTTATATTATTTATATCTTCTTGTAATGCTTGGCTATATATAAGGTGTTATTTTTTGTACTGATCATACTTTACCAACGCATCTAATAAAATCATACAAATACAACCCAAGTGTTTTTAAAAAAAAATTCAGGCTAGTTTTTGTTTTTACTTTTCCTAACAAAAAAAAGATATTATTTTTACAACCATCCTGTCTACACTCACTGCCTCTCTCTCTTTCTTTACTCATTTCATTCATACGAGTACGAACAATGGCCGCGCGCATTCATTCAACGTTCACACACATAAAGGTTAGATTACACTAAACCTACGTTACCAAAAATTATCACTCGTGAGTATGTACGATGTTACGTCATGTTAATAGGTACTACGCGCTGGGAGAAACAAAATCTAGCTACATAAGTAGGTAAATAAGTGTATTTTCATTAGTGTAATAGCGGGGGACTTTTCCAACGAACCGAGGCGAATCATCCGCGTTAAACTAGAAATTTAAAAAAGGATAGAAATTGGAATTCAATATCTACGGTTTCGTAATGCCTACGCAATTTATTTAGAGACGTAATAAAAAATTGATAGGTACATACCTATTACTACTTCGCTTCGCTTCAGTGGAAATGCACCCTAATATTGAATATGAACAGGTGTTGTAAATAAAACTCACTGATCAATTTTCCTGGTTTTAATTCCTAAATTATGATTTGCCATCACACTTTAGATTCATTGATTTTACTTATTCACACATTTACCTATTTTGAATGTTGTTATTTAAAGTTCCTAGGTTATTATTACACTAATCACAATACATTTTGAACGTCAAGCCTTCGTGGCCCTCTGGCAACAACTCCTTGATAAGGCATTCCGTATTTTTACGCAAAAGCCGCCGTCTGCGGCGCTCGCATCTGGGTACCGCCAGCACTGTGCCGGTGATTGAAATTGAAATCCAGAACTTCGTCCTCGAAGCGCACGGAATCTCGTCAAGTCAGGATACGGCTGCGCGGCTCCAAACAAGCAAGGTATGAAGGTTTTCGACTCGTCAATGTTTCTCGTCGGCCAGTTAGTGTGCCCGAAACATAATTTCACCTGCGTTTTGTTATTGATCAAGCGCGGCATTGTAATAAATCACACATACACTGCAATACGTTTGGGCGCATTGGACGGACTGGGACGATTATTTATGTTGTTGCGCTCCCGCATGCCGATCGGCGGCTCGGCGCGGGCTGTGGGCGCGGAGCGACTGGGAGCGATATCAATATGGCCGAATCACGCGGCGCGGCACGTGGCAGTGGTCGTTGCCCTCGGCCGGCTACTACGATAGTGCGTACAAACGAATACTCACCGCGCTCAAAGGATGATTTATTTTTTATTTTTTTCGAAACATTCTTTGTCGTTTTACTCGAAAACTAGCCTGAATTTTTTTTTAAAAACATTTGGGTTGTATTTGTATGATTTTATTAGATGCGTTGGTAAAGTATGATCAGTACAAAAAATAACACCTTATAAATAATGTAATATAAGTAGTTATTGTATAATTGAATATTTGTAATTTGGTTTGATGAAATATTGTATGTTATGTTTTTTTATAATGTGATTTACCGACGAGTAATAAATATTGCCTGGAATGTACGGTCTACCATTTTCGTTTTCAATTTATTATGCGATTATTTTAATTCTTAACGCATAATATTCAAAACTTAAAAATGTCTTCGACGTTTACTAACTTTTTCTAAATTTCTCATAAAAGAAAGGAGATTAGTGACTTACTTCAACTGTCAAATACCTTTTTTATCTACTTTTAAATACGCGACATGCCTTACCCATATAAAGTCTAGAGTCAACTGGCCGAGGGGTCCTCACCAGTTGCCTCTTACAGACACCCTGTCTGCAGCGGAGGCCTTCGGAGACAAATCAGCCGAGTCAGGGGCGGTGTATGGAGCACACGTTGGGGCTGGAAGTGTGGCCACGTCGATCCTGGTCATCATGGCTTCGGTAGCCGCTGGAACTTTAGGGTGAGGTATGTATACGTCTACATAGACGACATCGTTATTACTTCTTAGGATTACAATGATACTGATCAAAGATAATTGCAGAAAGCTGAGATTTGATTGTACTCATAGATTTAAGCTACACAGCTAGTTAAAAATATGTATATTATTACAGTATTACAAACTCGTGTTTAATTTCCTAATGTCCGTTTTCACCATCAATCCCTACTTTTGAAGTGACCCCTATGCAATCAAAGTTCCTGTTATGTGTTACCATAAGGGTCACTTAAAAATTAGGGATTGGTGGTGAAAACGGGCATAAGACTACTATAAAGTACTTAGTGGATTCGACCAAACAAGAGTAAATATGAATCTCAGAATAAATCGTCAGTTATTCGACATTTTGACATATTTCCTATACTGAAACTGTCAATAAGCCAGTTATACCAGGAGTTATTCTCGAAAAATTGGTCGATGGTCGAATCGGGCCTTAGTCAATCATTTACCTGTTAATCTTTTGAAAGACAAAATATTAGCTCGTATATCTCATTTTTGTAATATTATTCATAATTTTAATAAAGTACTGTGTCTTTTGTTACAGATATATTTTTGAACATTCTGGTATCCTTAAGTTTACTGGAAAGGTGTCATGAGGCCCACAAAGTAAGATCTTTCCATTTTATTACTATTCTTACGTTTTAATTGTGCATGATAAAATCATAGTAATGCAGTAGTGCAAGTACAAAACCATAAAAATAAGACGCAGGTCGCTACAGTAATGTTATATGGTGGAAATAAAGTTCAGAATCGTGTTAATATTCAAGTACAATTAAGCTACAAATTGTAGCTTAAAATATTTTAAAGCTGACGCGTAATTTGAGCATAGTTAAACTCCAATGCCAGTTTCACTAATAATGTTTATTGAACTTTATTGCAAAATAGAGAAACTTTAATAGATAGTCGGAAAAGTGTCGAATTATGTTAGATCCATGATGGTACATTTTAAATTAGAATTCAAAAAATAAAGCAGGCCAGGTAATTAAACTCGGTAAGACATTAAATGCTTTTTCCTAAAATATTATAATGTTTGTGTGCAGTAAGTATTTTTCAATTTTCCATATTATGACAGTGGTGCTAACAAAATATTAGTTTATATGAAACTTTTTAGTTATTTATTACGATAAGTTATAGATTTAATTAGTGTTGAGTTATAGCATTTCTGTAAATAATATTAAGCGGTCTATTTGTTTACAAGATTGCTATTTTCTATTTGTCTTACGCGAACTATAATTTTGTAAAAACAAAATGGCTACTAACTGTATTTAATTGGTACGATTGTGCTTGTCATAATTGCACTTTATTGCTAAGTATTTATTGCCTATTACGAGTATACTATACGTAATTTTATGACTTGGCCATATTGATAAAATTATAGTTCATTATTACTATTATAGTTTCTTTTCAAAATCATAGATTTTTATTGGGCGATTTTCAAGTAAAAAACAAGTACCTACATAGAGTTGTGTAATCTATTTTGTGAGAATTCACAATTACTTTCTATCTATTATTTACTATGACCATTGGTCTCAAGTCTCAACCACAAGGTCTAATGAAGCTTGTTAAAAAGCTTAAAAAAGTTACATACTTCTTATCTTCTTATTAAAATGAAGTATGGGGAATATCTTTTTCTAGATTTCCATACCTACTTACCCTAAGGTATTGTCAAAATTCAAAGAAATCACCTTAAAATTGTATAAATGTATTATCATATTTAACTTCTAGCAAAATGTTAGTAATAGTGTACTTAGTGTGATATTATAATAATTAAATAATATGTTCATTTTTATTTATTACGTTGGATTTTAAGGCTTAATGATAGGTAAAGTTACTATTTCCATAAATAAGTTATTTAATGTGTTAATTAGATTCTTTATTTAAATAAGTGTTTTTAAATTGTATAATGCTTTTAGGTGCCTTTAGTTTAATAAATAATTCAGTACAATACCCACCTATTTTAAAATTGATATTGCCGTTCTACGTTTTAAAGATTTGTTGCAAAATCACACCTTAATACAACTGCATTAAAATGCCTTACTGTTTAGCTACATATAGTAAAGTAGCACATTAAATTAAACAGTTGCACTCCAAAAGTAACTCTTATTTTGTTTAGAATAAGAGTGGTTACAAGCTCTACGTGCTTCGTTTGATGTGCTGTAGTCTACTTACTATCTTCCTCAATATTATTCATCATCATCATTTCAGCCATAGGACGTCCACTACTGAACTGAACATAGGCCTTCCTCAATGATTTCCACAATGGCCAGTTGGTGGGGGCCTGCATCCAGCGCCTTCCGCTACCTTTATGAGGTCGTCGGTCCACCTTGTGGGTGGATCTCAATATTATTAGGAAGTCTAAAATGGCGCTTCTAGAAGATATCTCTCGGTCGATATGACTGGATAAGGCCAGTTAAATCACGCGAATAACACCTCACGGAAGGTTAGGGTGTCCATGATTCCAAATTTAAGTAGACTAGTCCTACTTAATATTTTAAAGAGTTGTAAGGTACATTCAGAAAAACACAAAATTTTTGATGTAAATAATATTTTATTTAAATGTAGAAACATACAAACTTCCACCTCGAAAAGTTATTAGACACAGGTTTTTGTCAAACTAGCGTTACTTACATAGTTTGTGTTAAATCATTCTTAAGTAGAGCATCATACAGACCTTTGCTTTGTTAAAAACTAAGTTTTAAATAGGTACTTATTTTTATATTTTTTCCGTTACGAATATATTGAAAGACCGCTGTGAAATTATTGCTTACTATTATAGGAACTTTAACAATTTATCGTGCGTGATTAAGATTAAGATGTCGTGCCCTGCGTGCCCAAACAACTGCACACAGGAAGATTTAATGAATGCGACTGACAACGCCACTCTTGTAACGGTGTTTTGAGTTTACCTACTCTGGTTTGTTGTCGACACGACAAGAAGAACAATTTGATATAGAATTGTTCTTGATCTCATCCTCTTATATCGAAAATGGTTTCGTAGAGTTCCCAAATGGCATCCAAACCTATGGCTACCCTACTAATCTCAAGAGTCTAGAAACAGTCATATTCCGGTCGCGATATACTTTGAACCGGGGTTTCGCTTGTCGTGATGACTCTAATTGATCCAATCTAGTACCTGATAGGAACATTACTTGTCGTTGTGTCATTGCGGCAGTTTCTACAGGATGTTTTTTAAATCCACAACGAGGAAGCTCTTGACCTGCATCTTATTCTCACCTGATGGAAAGTGATGATCAGGCAAGGTGGAAGTGAGCTTCACTCGGAACATTCACCCACAATGTGTGTAAAGTGGAACTAGTTTTTCCCGGAGCTTCTCCCGCGTGAATTTTGATCTATCACAGAAAGATTATCAGACGCGCAAACTATCCTATGTCTTTCTCTAGGTCTCAAACTCTTCCTATACTTAAGTGCATTTAAATCGGTTCTGTAGTTTAACGTGAAATGATATCAGACAGATAGCAGAAAGATAGACTTTTGTAATAATATACTTACGCGTGAATTATGATGTATGATGCACTATGTAGCTTCGCCGGCGTGAGTTTCAGTCTACCGTGGCATAGAAATTGTCTATCGCTTATCTTTGTATCAAATGTTCTTCTCTAAAAGCATATAAATCTAAACTCTTTGCTTAAAAAGCAAGGCAAAGGAAAGGCAATGAGATTTAATAGGCGAAATAATCTTAAGTCTAGTTAGGCTTGCTACGACATTTTTGTTGACTCTACTCTGTGTATACCTCTCACCTGCCTCTCAGGACACTCGCCAAGTTTTGTGTCTATATTTAGATCTGTACTTCCTCTAGTCTCATTGTGACGGAGACCTTGCCTCGTGCACTTCCTATCTTGAGAGTTATTGCAGGATGTGCATTGCACTCCGATTGTATGAAGATCCTTCTACTAATCTAATATATCATGTAATAGTTCTCGATTGAGACTAAGGTTACATTGAAGACTCGCTTCAAATTCTTTCATCTAGTATTAGCTATGTTACTCTGATTAGTTTGCAATTTCAAAATGGATGATGTTGTTGTTATAGTAGCAATAAAGTTGTTTTTATTTCTATTGTGTGGAATATTATGGACAGTTAATTATAAACTTCTTTAGACTAGGCGCAGACTACCGATTTTTAGTTGGCCGATAGTTGGGCCCGAATCGAATCGGCGTAATGTGCGCACTTCCATACATGCTCATACTGATTAACTGCCCGACTAAACTATCTGCCGACGAAAAATCAATGGTTTGCGCCTAGGCTTAGTGTATCCAAATGTGATTGTAAATAAAAACTTTCAGAAAAGGTGTTAACCATTTTCAACAGTGCAAACAAAATGGCGCCGCCGTATTTACCGTGCGAACATGTTTACAACAGATCACGGTATCGTCGGCAATTATTAACGCCAGCCAAGGCCGCCGGCGACATAGCACATCCCTTCATTGTCACATTATCTAGTCACATATCATGGGCTTGGCGTATTCCATAAGCGGAAGCGTGTTATGGCTAATACCTTTATAAAAAAGGCCTAGGAAAAAGTTGTTTCAAAAATTTGTCTAGTACCCAAGTGGCATTAAAATGACTGAAGAGTGAAGTTATAATATTTTTTGTTTTATTTTTAGTTATTTTTGTAAAAAGCACTTTTACACGGACAGAGATGTCCTCATAAAAGTATTATTTTGTAAATATTCAATGTAGAATAAAAGAGCATAGGAACAGGTCCTTACTTCTATTATCCTGACACCTACGCCTGTGACCACTCTTCCATCTGAGCAAACAAAACAAAATTTCCGCAATGTTTCATCATGAATGTATCAAACTGGAATATTCCGTTGAATCATAATGTAAACATGCTCAATTCAAGGGTAAATACTCTAACGTAAGTCTCACTTAACACCAGGTGCGATTGCCTTGTCTAGCATAAAAAAAAACGTTAACATGATTATAGGAAGACGGTGGAAACTCACTCAACGTCTGTCACGACGACAGTCTCCTTACCTTGTGTGACAGTTGTGTGATTTGTGACAATTTCAATAAGTATTTTAATTAATATTAATAATTTTATTGCACTTAACTAATAGTCCCCTCAACTAAGATAAATATACGCTCTTTTTTGTCTACGACGAGGAAGCTCTTGGCCTGCATCTCACCTGATGATGCTTAAATGGTGATGCTTCACCACATTAATCCAGCGCACGATGACACTGACACCGTTGTGCTATTATCGTATCATTGGTTATACTATTTACATCAGGGTCTTGGAATTAGGATATATTTGCTCAGATGTAAGCTATGTTTGTATATGTATGTCACCGTAAAATTGTGAATTCCGTCAGATTATAATCTGACGTAGTTAAATTACAATCTAACCTAATCTAACCCACTGTTAGTTTACAATCTAACGCGTTATATTATAAACTGACAGAGTTCACAATTTCACGTTGACATATACAACACAACAGGTCTTAATCAAAGGCTTAATAATTATGAATATAATGTTTCCCTTTTAAGGCGCAGTTACTTTTACACTAAAATGATATCTGAAAAATCGCTCCCACTTATCACTTACGACTTCCACATGACTGCTAAGTTAATTATCTACCCCTAGTTACCCGTGCACGCCACATTAGCTTCTAATTATATTGCCTTAGAGGCTACATTAGCCCAACAAATATTAAATCGTCACCAGACTGTAACGTGATTGTGAAAAATGGTGCCAACCTTCAGAGGTATTGTTTTCAGCTCTTTTATAGCAAAATCGTGATATTACCTTTCGTGTATGTTAGTCTTTAAAGCTTCAGGTGTAAAGTTCAATATTTAGACGAAAAATCTACCAAGATTCTGTCCGTGCTAACCCCATATCTACCAGTCATACTTTTCGTAGTCAAAAAACGTTGTTACCATTCCTATGGATATAGGTAAACTTATGTGCCGATTTGTAAATATTCCTAACTTTATAAAGTAGTGACATACCTATATGTCAATTTGTTTCGTGTTTTTTGAAATGTTGGTCACCCTACTTTCAAGTAAATAACATTATTGTCAGATCTTGTTACTGCTCTATTATTTACAGAGAAGAAAAGTGTATTTTGAGATAGTCGTAACAAAAATACTGCCAACAATGTTAAGAAGTGAATTTACGAGTATGGTGATAATTGTGTAATTTGTTTGCAACTAATTATAATCCCAACTAATATTATAAATGCGAAAGTAACTCTGTCTGTCTGTCTGTCTGTCTGTCTGTCTGTCACGCTTTCCCGCTTAAACCTCGCAACCGATTTTGATGAAATTTGGCATAGAGATAGTTTGAGTCCCGGGAAAGAACATAGGATAGTTTTTATCCCAGTTTTTGGAACAGGGACGCGCGCGATAAAGTTTTTCTGTGACAGACAAAAATGCACGCGGGCCAAGCCGCGGGCGGAAAGCTAGTTAAATTATAATTCGTTAACTATTACTTTCAAATATTGTAAAATGTGAAGTAGGTAATGTTTTTTCGTAATAAAATTACATTAAAGTAAGTATGCGGTGTAAAATGAAACGCAAAATAGTTGAGTATTTATTTGAAAAACAGTGGAAAAATACGTTACCAAGTTAAAAGTAAATACGTAGTTATTATACGCATGCACCTGAAACAATAAAACAACAATTAAATTTTAAAGAACTTTACATAATTATTTCGATAAAAACATGAACTAATAATTATGTTATAGAAATCGAATTTGTTACTGAAGATAAAATTATTGTATCCGTTTTGATTATGTTTTTATCCAAAAATCTACTAGATTAACGCTCAATATTATTTTTTTGTGTATTTATTAAGTTATTAACACCGACAGTAATTACTCTTTATTGAGTGGTTCGAACATAATAGCATGTGTGTGTGTATTACAATTAATTAACTAATAATTACTATAATTGCATCGATCGGGGTTTTTTATAATAATATGTGCTTGACTTTTCCCCGCAGTTTCGGTTTAGGAACAAAAAATCTTTCAAAAAGAATTGATAATAATAATGTATAACTTGAGGAATTATCGGTTCCTATTTATTCCGTTGATAATAAATTAAAACTTTTGATATAATATTTCATACTTAACATAATTTAAAATAGAAGTCAAGCTACATTGGCTCACTTTTAAAGTTTTTATTTATTTAGTAGGTACTAATTTATCGAAATTATTAGGATATAAAATTTTGTCTTTATTAAATATTTTTTACAAATATTTATCAATTCTTAAGTTATAGGGCAAAATCAATTAATTAAGTAGGTATATTTCAATTAAGTCATTACACAAGCGTATTTTTTATTTCTTTTTTTACACTTATTTTTAAATTAATTTTCTTTTATTTTAAATTTCCACCAAATTAACGAACTAATTTCATTTTTTTTTCTTGACACAAACTATCGATGACTGTTTTATAACACTGATGTGACCATCATTTTACAGTAAAAAAAATGTCACTTTGAATTTAATCCCTGCCGACCACGTCACTATACTCACGTCAAATGTCGCAAACCCTGTTGACGGCAGGTGACCCGTGCGCCGACTGAGCGCTATGTCTGATTGCGCGGCGCTTGCGCAGCCTATGTGATTCAATTAGCGACGCGTGTACAGGGTGTTGTGTTTGTGAGATTTTTTTGTTACATTTTATTTTCATTTATAAAAGCTGATTTACACGGTAACTGAATTGCTAACTAAATTGGTCTTGCTACTTGACACGTTTTGACAAGCTGTTTCATAGTAAACAAGAGCTTGACGTTTGGAATTAAGTTAAAATTAAGTTAAAAATTTAGTTACCTACTTAACTACTTAATACGTGTAAACCAGCCATAAGGAAGACCAGGGTATACCAATATAATTAAGTTATTGTACAATTGATAACATTAAATAACCACTTATAGGTGTAACAATAATAATATGTATTGTTAATTTTGATTAGATTTGATTATGTGCAGTAAAATATTTTGAAAAAAAAATAGATGTGACTAATCATTTCAATCTATTAGATTATTTTTTTAATAACATTGGTATTGTATGTTTTGTATAGAAGTAACTTTTAATAGAATTGGTTGAAATGTAGAGCTATGAAACATTTAAATTATAATAGTGCATAGGTACTTCCTTTGATTTGAATGATTGTTATAATGGAGTTCCGAACGTGACCGCCACTTGTTTGTAATTATTTTGGTTCCCGTTAAGGTTTTTTTTTATTATTTAAATTAAAAATGTTTTAAATGCACACTGTGTAGAGATGATCGCGCTGTATCAATTATTTTAAATGTGATTGTATCCTACCACTTCAATGTTACAGTTTGACCTTGCTTTTAAAGGATGCCATTCTAAAATTTATACTTAACTACAAAAAATAAACGGTTCTACCTGTGTCTGTAAACAATATAACATTCGTCATATTTTTGAGACGATAATTTGCGTGTGTCTAGTAGGGACATTGTCCACTTGACTATGTAGGCCAGGGGTGACAAACATTTATGCTCTAACACGCCATTAGAAGAAAATAAGATGCCAAAGAAAGAAAAAGAATTTATTCAATGCAAGTACAAAACGTGCCGTCGTGCATTAGGTTCGTCATCCCTGACGTAGGATTTTTAAAAGAGTTCCAAATTAGTGAAACGCCATGTATACAGATACATATGGTAGGTACTGTAAATCTTTATGGCCAGTAATTATCGCCTGCAGGCTCTATGAAAGACACTCGAATGGCTGTAGTGTTTACAGACCATCTGTGTAAATGTCAACGATTACTGTCAAGAACGAATCGAACACGATTTCGGTTTTTGCACACGTTTGTATTGCGTTACAGTTCGGTTTACGATTATATATGTCTCTACCAAAGTCAACTCAGTCAGTTTATAAATTGTTGACAAAGGTGACTGAGTTTCTTCCGACACTTCTTCTCAGCACCAGCCCATATGTTGTCCCGAAGTGGTGGTAGGGCAAGCTATATTTGGGACGTGTATAAGTGCCCTGGAAAGGGCCTATGTACTGATAAACTATTTGAATTTGAATAACGCGTGAGATTGTAAGCTAAAAGTGGGTTAGGTTAGATTATAAAGTGACGGGGTTCACAATTTTACGGTGACAATATATCTGCTGACAAAAAACCCGAGAACTTTAATTAAAAGAGGTTCTTGTGGTTTTCCTATACAATAACAACGTTTTTTACTATAATTTATTATAAATATTATAGGTACTTCTTTTTTATCCTTATAAGCTGCTGTTAGTTGTGACTGTTGTGCGGAAAACTGACGTCCGTATTCACAAACGATGCTTACTTAAGTGAAGCAGCAAATCGGACGCACAGTGTTGAATGGAGCTTTGTGATTGTTTCATTTGTCACCCTGTGCGTCCACGCGCACTGTGAGACCTCATAGTAATGTTTGTGAATATAAGCGTGAAGGTTTAGTCGAGTTCTTTTAAAGAAAATCTTTACTACATTTGCTCTATTTAATAAATGCTTCTTAAAAAAATATAATTCTAACACAACCTGTATAATAAATAGGCATTAATTTATACAGTACTTGTAGTACATGGCGGCTTTCATCACATTATAGGGTAAAATAACCAGGTTCGGGCTAGATTTGTCCACTTGCGGACTTAAACAAGCTGGGAATGTGTTATTAATTTAATAATGCCCAGTTATCAATATAATGGTAGTTATTAATTTTATAAAATTATAGAGGAATGGCCGATTATTAGTTTAATGCCCGTTTTCACCATCAATCACAAATTTTTAAGTGACCCTTATGGTAACACAACAGGAATTTTGTTTACAATATTTTGTTGATGGTGAAAACGAGCATAAGTACTCGTATATTCAATTAGGGTTTAGATAGTGTAAACAATAAATTTTACTTTTACCCCGATAAACTTAAAAATATTAAAAACCAATATGTTTTGTCAGTGTTACAGTTAAAACAGTGATAATAATATGTACCTTTCGGAGAACAGCGACTTTACTACTTGTCCCTGATAAATAACTTATTAGAAACTCATCTGTCAGATAATTTACAACTTTCAGTGTTACAGGTTTCATAGACATAGGTACCATTCAGTATCTATCAGATAAAATTATTTAAAACTTTTTCAAAAACTGAATCTTGTAAATTACCAAATTGGCCTAGTTTAGATACCACTGTCATAATAATATACTCAACATCAAATAAATCGCACCTTCCACGTCGCGAACTTTAGAGATTTTCTTCTGACACAATCATGGTGCCCCAACAATATTGGTGTTATTTGAAAGCCCAATAAATAAACTTAAAAAAAACATTTAATTTCTTAATAAACGATTAACATATACCATAAATGTGACTTGAAAAAACACCTCACTTGAGGCTCACCTCTGGGATATCAATTAGACCAATTTTTATGGTTATAAAACCCAATAAATATGATCTCACGTGTCCTCTTTAACAGATGGATAGCGATTAATCCAAACTTAACAGTTTTATAGCCATAAAAGTTGGCTCAAGTGTAACTATCTATTTTTTGAGGAAGTGTCTCGGGATCCTTCTAAAGACACATTTTTGGGGTAAAAACCTTTCTAGAACTAGGCTTTTAAATGGTGCCAATATTGGTGGGAAGTGGGGATGCATACGTTTGAAAATGCTTGTCGCGGGAGGTGCGATGTATTTGATGTCGAGTGTATAATATTTTTTATGTACTTATCTATGTAAAAACATGACAAAAACACAGCATTAAAGCCACTGCACACATTGTTATCTCGCTGACAGGATGCGCTAATCCTCTGTATTCAAAGATAACCTTCTGATAGTCATTCGCGTCTATTGTTTATGGTATTGTTATGTTCACAAATACTATGTTATGTGGGAGGACATCTGCAAAGCGAGGTTATTACTCATTTATGTATGTACTAGCTTTTGCCCGCGGCTTTGCTTGTATTTCAATGTATTATTGTGTACCGAAGTCGTTATTGAGCATCTCAAGAGATATAAAAAAAGATTTTAACTTGATTGTACTTTACAAGCGCGACTTAAAAAGCATATAACGCCATCTATTGGTTGAATTTGAAACGATTTTATTATAATATGTGACATCAGCAATGTACAGTCGCGGAATGAAAAGGTTCGTCACCTTAGTGTCGGTTTTCGCTTGCAGTAGGTACTGTAAGAGTCAAACCTGCCAACATAACCGTGCAAGAAACAGTGCTGCTAACATTTAAATAAATATGACGTTTGCTAACGAATAAGGTTTTGCTTGTTTATTTTTCTATCCCATCAGTGCAATGTTACAAAATGTAGTTTTTTTATTTAAATAATGGTAGGTTGAACCAACAAGAAGGTTTTAGTTTATCAATCATAATAATCTTCTTGGCAAGTTAAATCGTCAAACAACTTTAATCTGAATAATTTTGAACTTTACTGACGAACAGTTAAAGATTATTTTCTCTAACTCGAGATTATTCTGTAACATAGTTTCAAAAGGTAACATGTGATTGCGATTCATTGAAGGAATCAATTTGAAAACTGACGAACCTTTTCATTCCGTGACTGTACCTACCTATTATAGTGACTAGTATTTTAATTTTTAATGTAGGTACGGACAACTGGCATCTTACGTAGTTGCAATAGGCACTATTTTGCTATATAAATGTATACTCAGATGTGCTGTCGACAGTTACAAAATGCCATAAAAGTGAAAGTAGTATAATTTCTTACAGTTCCTATTGCAACTAATAGTTGATTTGCTCACTTGGTTTATAGCCTAGAATGGAGACAGATTAATTTACTACCTACTTATTAGTACTTTTACCCAACACTTCTATGAATGTATGCCTACGTGAACTCACAAAACTAAATACTGTAGCGAGCATTTCCCCAATTAGCATGGGAAGTAAGAGTAAATTTTTCATCATCATCATCATCATCATCTCAGCCATAGGACGTCCACTGCTGAACATAGGCCTCCCCCAATGCTTTCCATGTTGCCTGGTTGGTAACGGCCTGCGTCCAGCGCCTTCCTGCTACCTTTACGATGTCGTTGGTCCACCTTGTGACGTCCCACGGTTTTTCCTCTAGTGATTTATATAAAGAAGATCGTCCTTCAGTAGTAGAGACTAAAATGACCTGATGATGATAAAATAAATAAGTAAATTTTTTATAACTTTCAAACTTACTAATTTTAATTGTATTTCTTTACAGGGTGCTGGTATACAGAAAGCGTCGCGACTACGCATACAATTTGATCAACAAAGAAGATGCGAAACTCCTGTCCAAAAGACCGTACACTGAACTCCAGAGCTTCACCGGGGCATCGAACCAGAGGCAGCGGTGAACTCGGTCCTTCTCCGACAATCGTCCGACAACTTTAATTGAGAACAAGCAGTGAACTTAGGGTCAGTTAATCTGTAGTTAAACTGACCAATTGGTAAATTTTATGACAAGTGGTTAATTTAACTATTTGTCAAGCCGACCCTTAATTATTGACATTCTATCGATATGTTTTTAATGATCTATGTAAAGGAATGCCTAAAAATCTGGTCAGTAGACCTATGATGCGAACCGTGATAAACTTTTATCGATTTTTCACGATAAGCCCATACATTTGTCGTCTACAATCGACGACAAGATTTTGTCATGGCGCGCATCCTAGTTCGGCTGAGTTTACAATGATAAAATTATGTTAAAAACAATTTCACAAAAATGTTTAGATTTAGCGATTCAATAGTGTTGTCAACATTCTATATTACTTGATATATCGATAGTCTGTCGATAAAAAAGAACTACGTAATTTGTTGTTACTCATCAAAAATAGGACGACTGGAGAAAACAACGTTAGATAGGAATATCGTATTTTCAAATAATAGTGTACAAAAGAATCTATTTTATTATATATTTTAATAATCTCAGACTATTTAAAAAGTTAATAGAAAATGGAGTTTGTATAAAACCAGTTCTACAAGTGCTGTGGTATGATTAAGCTTTGTACATATAGATATAAGGTATAATATCGCGTGTATATTATTACTTAGACTTATTAGTGCAGTCAATCCAATATAATGTGGCAATTACATAGTGCTCAAATTCATAATCTGAATGAATAAACAATGTATTGACCCATTTTAACCGATTTAAAAAAAGAGGTTAGTAATATAAATGTCAACGATAGTGGATTGTGATTTAGATTGTTATTCGTATAGAAATAAGTGATTAAATTTAATCTATTTATCTATTTTCCAGTATTGTCGAGTAAATAAATTACTTTAACATTTAACCCAGTACAGCCAAAAATATTTTTCACTTATTTTGAACCGTAATACGTTTCAAGTAAAGCAGTGATTCAACAGTCCTGTTAAATTTAAACTGTAAAGATTAGGGCAAAAACTAATTGAACTCCGAACTCGAGATAGTTATATTTAGTCTTTTTCCTTTAGAAAGACTAATTTATTTTTCATTTCTAAACTGTTTTCTTAGTACAAAAAATATTTAGTTTACCAATGCAACAATTATGTATTTTCATTGACTACTTTGAATATTTAAGTTTTTGCCAATATTTTATTCTTACAACAGTTAAAAATTATATTGTTCTTCTTAAATAACAAGAAAAAAACTTGTTACTGTAACAATTTCAAATATTTATTATAAAACCATTTAAAAATCATTTCGTATAAGATGTCGTTAGGTGGCGTTTTGATAAGCCATAAAAAGTATGTCGTATAAGTCCCGTGTTAATTATTGTAGAACTTGGATTAATATCGTCGTGTCAAGTAGTTGTCAAATAAAAAGCAATACTTGTATAACGATTATTTGTATTAAAATACAATTTGAAACCACACTGATTTAGTAATGATTATTACATCTATTTTATCAGCTTTCGATGTATTTTCTCCTGTTCTGTAAACTTTAGTGATGTGCATGATAAATATCGATAAGTTTTAAAACACCTCCTTATTTGAAAAAAAAAAATAAAACTATGACACTGTTTTATGTATTGAATGCTTAGTATGTATACAGTGTGTCCGGGCATGTAGTGATCAAACTTTAAGGGCGTAATCTATGGACAATTTTATCGATGAAAATACTTCAAATTTGGGGCTTGACCCATTTCTCAAAAAATTACATCGATTTAAGTTTTTAATTTTTAGTTTACACCTCTTCTTTAAAAAACAACTGAAAGCGTGGGTAGCTTAACATTAATAGGCAAATATTTTATATCATGCGATAGCCAATAAAATTATCTATTAGTAGAAGAAGAAACCAGACATAAGTTTCATACATTTTATGGGAGTAAGAATGGATTTAATTAGAAAAATACATTACTTTTTTCACTTCTTTTTCAGTTATTTTCCAACACAAGAAAAACCAGGTCGTTAAGGTATGTTTTATTTGCATTGTATTTTTAGTATTTGAGCTATTCTACAAAACGAATGTAAATTTATTAGTCTACGTCTATTAGTTTCGACGTAATTGTTGAACAAAGATAATGTATTGTATGATAATGTAAGTAATCGGAATAGGTTATGTGATTCTTTCAGGCAGTGCATTTTCGCATGTCGCGTGCGCTATGGAAACCGCTGGGAAGGGGTATCTTTGTTCAACAATTACGTCGAAACTAATAGACGTAGACTAATAAATTTACATTCGTTTTGTAGAATAGCTCAAATACTAATAATACAATGCAAATAAAATATACCTTAACGACCTGTTTTTTCTTGTGTTGGAAAATAACTGAAAAAGAAGTGAAAAAAGTAATGTATTTTTCTAATTAAATCCATTCTTACTCCCATAAAATGTATGGAACTTTTGTCTGGTTTCTTCTTCTACTAATAGATAATTTTACTGGCTATCGCATGATATAAAATATTTGCCTATTAATGTTAAGCTACCCACACTTTCACTTGTTTTTTAAAGAAGAGGTGCAAACGAAAAATTAAAAACTTAAATCGATGTAATTTTTCGAGAAACGGGTCAGGCCCCAAATTTGAAGTATTTCCATCGATAAAATTGTCCATAGATTACGTCCTTAAAGTTTGATCACTACATGCCCGGACACACTGTATAAAATAGTGGAATTGTTTTAATTTATACTTATATGGGGATAGTGACACTTGATATTACTAACTAGTCATTAGCTCAATGAAAAACACATGTATTTTAACTAATTTGATATTTATCTGCTTATTCTTTTTCTTCTACAACATATGTACTGATTTTAATTCGAAACAGTTACATTATTTCCATAAAAAGCAAAAAAAAAAAATACACCCTTACAACTATTTAAAAGGCACATTTTTATCTTCTAAAGTGTTAGTAGATATTTTTTAAATACTGTTTCGAATTAAAAAAAATCGGGTTTCTACAATACAAATAGACAAATTGCGAACAAAATAATAAAACTGATATTTTGTTTCAATAATTTATTTAGGTATTAATCGAGAGTATTATTAGGTATAGTTGTTAAACTGTAGTTTTAAGTAGACAATTTATTTCCCATTTAAGTAATAAATGTTGCATTTAATACAAAAAAATCAGTGTGGTTTTAAATTGTGTTTATACGTAGGCCTTTTTAAGAGTTGACAGAATGTGTTAGATTTTATTTAGTAGTCAATGTAATGACTAATAATTCATTAATTAAATAAATATTCGAATCAGCTGTGTAGAAAATGCTGCAGGCTTTAAATACTAGCTCATGTATATTACTATGCATTATTGATAACATACTATGACAAGGATGTGAAACATATATGCGGGCTCTTACCTTGCCTTCTGTTCTTGCTTATTTTTAGCAACAAGAATAAAATGATTTTAATATACTGGCTGTTATGACAAACGTATCGTGCAAAAAAATATATTTTGGCGCCAAACGTAACCTAGAGGACTAACAATAAAATGGCGCCAAGAAAACTTCTTGACAGAACAGATTAGGTTGGAGCTTCATGTTAGGTATCTTGGTATTTCATTATAAGAAATGATGGTTTATTTCTTTATGAGATTATCAATATTTGTGACAGCTAAGAATATTTCAAATAGGTGCTGGTCACCATAGATTATAGACTTTTTATCACGTGTATAAAATGCATCATGACATGAAATAATTTAATCCATTATAAACTATTTATGTTTTAAAATGTAGTGACACATAGCAGTGATTTGTTTTAGATTTTTAATTTATTTAAATCTCTGTGACTTTTAAGTGTTAATTTAATTTTAATTATACAACGATAGGGGCCGGTATCACTAAGAATATAGGAAAGTTTGAGGCGTAGTCAATATTCAATCTCAGTTAATGTTAATTACGCTGCTCATTATTAATTAAATATTTCCCGTGAATATGTCACCTTAAAGTTGTGAATTCCGTCAGATAATAATCTGACGTAGTTAGATTACAATATAAACAAACCTAACGGTGTTATTTTATAATCTCACGCGTTATATTATAAACTGACGGAGTTCACAAATTCACGTTGACAAAATATACATCGTACAACCTAACATAGCTTCTTGTGATATTTTGTATATAATTTTTACAACATATTATTTGTAAAACTTAGCCATTTTGTTCCTATATCAGTTTGTTTATAGAAATATATTTTTCAATTGTTTTTCTTAGGTATTGACTTGTTTGGCAGAATGGAATGAGAAGTGATGTTGTGTATTAGTTATTAGAATGAATTTTGACAAATAAATAGGAAATCTAATACAACTCTGTTTTATTTATAAAAAACAACCATTCCATCCTCCTTTAAAGGCATGCACAAAATTCAATAAGTACAGGGTTATTTAGAGAGTTGATTGAAATGAACTCATTTTGCTTTATTTCGCTTACCAGTTATTTTGTTACGTAAATGACAGTCAGCATTTTACTCAGAAATGCTTATTATTATTTCGGTGCAGTAAATACAGTGCATAGTAATGTATACCCAAAGTTAAATACCACAGTAACCAAATTAGTTTGTCAGAGGTTCAGTCTCAAATTGAGGATCAATAAAAAGACTGGTCAAAATGATATTTCTATTGTTATTGCTACAATTAACTATTGTAAACGGCAGTTTTGTAAATGAAACTATAGTTAATCCCAAATACTTATCAAACAAGCGTTTTGACATTAAAAATTGTGATCATAGTGTCCAAGATGGTGTTTATGTCATTAGAACGTTAAATGCGGGTAGAAACAAAAGTTTTGGTGATATCCCTGAATACTTTAATGTCAGTGAGTGTGTGGGTGATAAAACTTCAAGAAATATAAAGAGGCACGTATTAAATGGTTTAATAATACACCACGATTTGCCACATAGCCACTGGATTGAATATAAGGTGAGTTGACCTACTTTTATCTTTATTAAAGACTAATTAATAAAAGTTATGGTTGAGGAAACGTAAACCGTGATCAGACGGCTAGCACGAAAAACGAGTTCGAATCGTTTGCGTATTCGAATCGCCATCAAAATATTTAGTATGAAAACTACAACAGCGCCCTTGTGAACGTGTCGTAAAGTGAAATAGGTAGTATGAGAATTAATGGTTGCATGAAACTTATTTTGAGAATCACAACTGTCACGTTATCGTTTAATTCGAAGATTGGGTGTCGAATCTTGTCGAATACGCAAAAGATTTGAAGACTAAATTGTTCATGCTAGAGGTAGGTAGGTACTGGTTCTTCCCTCTATCATTCCATAGGCCCTGGGTTAATATTGCATTGCAGTTAGAACCAAAAAGTATGTTTAATCCGGTTGACTAATGTCAGAATGTCTCAAAAATTTGACATTGTGGCACTATATTTGCAAGTAAAATAACACTTGAACTACCTCTAGGTCCTTAATTTTGATTGAATTTGCTCATTTTCTGCTGGCAACCACCACTGGCTTACAATGTAAACATTTCGTCGTGGTAATCGATGTCTGCTGAAATAAAGAGTCGCAGAAGCAAGCAAAATTTCCTGTGGCCCGTCCCATCATGTGACGTTATAAAAACAAGTATTAAAAAGCTTTCTGATCATATTATACTTTTAATGCGTCTTCCAGTCAGTCTTCAACAAGGAGTACCGGTCCCGGCGCCAAGAGAAGTCAGCTCTGGCACGCTGGAGGGACAACCTCCGACTGGTGGCGGAGCACAACCGCCGGTTCCTGGCTGGAGAGACCTCGTACTCCCTCCACCTCAACCAGTTTGGAGACTGGGTAATAATTAGTATTAGTCATTTTCTTTATCTTACCTACATTGGGATCTTCTTAGTTACCTCCTTGGTTAGTAGGTAGGTTACTATACTTCGTTTACACCCTGGCCTGGGTCGCTACTTAATTTTTGCTTTGGCATCAAACAATGAAAGTTTTGTGGTATTAGTACTTGCAATTTTTTTATTCTTATAAAGGTGTTGCGGAGCTAAAAAAAATCGTTGTGAAAATAATCGAATAAGAGAGTGATAAATATAAACTTTGTATGTATATTTTAATGTATAATTTTTAATCTCTAAATTAATCTAATATCAATCAACAGTGTTTTAATTTTTTTTAATGTTAGACTTCAACCTCATTTTATGTCAAAGTTAGATAATCTGTGGTCGGGCTCAGAACGCGAAAAAAACGCCGCACACCGCCATTCGCGTCGACTTGAAAAATTAATTAATGTTAATAAAAAGTAAGTAGGTAGTAAAGTATTTTTATTGTTTTTCCTTGCAAGTGTGTTGTTTTTTTTTCGAAACATTGTGCCATTGGTTCGGTTTACTGAAATCTCGCTTGGAGTTTTATTGCTATGTAAGGGAGAGTCCGCTAATTTGGACCAGTTTTTTTCAATCCCATTTTACACATAGTTTTCTTTTGTTTTTGCTAATGTCCATGGTATATCATAAAAGATACATTATTCAACTTACTATTTCATAAGTATTAATTAACATGATTGTTGTATATTTAGCACAAATCAACAAAGTACGAGTTCAGAGCTTCGGTCCAATTTAGCCAACCGGTTCGATAATTTGTACCACAGGGCTACTAAATTGGATTTCAATAAATTTCAAGCCTATAAAAAAACTATGGCAAAATATTATGCGATACATTCTTAACAAATTAGGAAACGAAAAGGAACAGTAGTTAATAACATAGACAATCGATATTGTTTTACACGTTATCACGATTTTAAGTAGGTACAAGTTTTGTAATTCCAATTATCGTAACGCACACTTGTACCTAATCTACTTTGCCAGTCTTTTGCTTTCATTTATTGTTAGTCATACATAACTACGCTATTATAACTTCAAAATATGAATTTTACTAAAAAAAATCAAAATCCTTTGGTAAAGTTCCATACAACTTGATGTGGTACAATTTAGCCGACTAGGTGATAGTGCTTTTAAAAAATCGGTAAATAATATAGCTTATAAATACCGAAAAATGTTTCAAATAATTGTAATCTACACTAATTTACGCTTCTAAATAATATATTAGAAACACCCTGTGATTAAAATTAACAAAATTACAAACTAAACATGTATTGTCAAAAGTTACTTGAAAACAATGAAAAAATACTTTTCAAAATAAAACATACGTGTTTGTTGTCACGACAAAAACCACATGGCCGATATTAATTGATTTTAGTTGTGTATCGTTGAGTGTTGCAATTACAGACATTCAATAAATACTTTACGAAATATGAGGGTGGTACAATTTACCCGGCGGTACAATATACCGAACTCTCCCCTATTGAACGGTCAAAACATTTAAGTATTAATAATTCATTAAGATTGTTAATATTCTGTCACCTTAGGACACAAAGGACTACTTCCAGAAGATTCTGAAGCTGTTCGACGTGGGACCCCTGTTCGACCCCGCTGAAGACAAGCACAAGTCTACCCTCGTAAGGAATGCGCGTAGAAAAGTTCCATCAAAGGTACCCAATCATTTATCATTCATCATCATCATTTCAGCCCCAGGACGTCCACTGCTGAACTTAGGTAGGCCTCCCCTAATGATTTTCATATTGACCGGTTGGTAGCGGCCTGCATCCAGCGCCTTCCTGCTACCTTTATGAGGACGTCGATCCATCTTGTGGATGGTGGACGTTGCACACTACGGTTTTCGAAAACAAAATTAACAATTTTATGAGTTCTTCACTTCTTCAAAGTGCGAAAGTAACTCTGTCTGTGTCTGTCTGTGTTGCTTTCACGCCTAAACCACTGAACCGATTTTGATGAAATTTGGCATGGCAAGATAGTTTGAGTCCCGGGAAAGTACATAGGATAGTTTTTATCCCGGTTTTTGAAACAGGGACGCGCGCGATAAAGTTTTTCTGTGACAGACAAAATTCCACGCGGGCGAAGCCGCGGGCGGAAAGCTAGTAGGTAACCTAATATAACGGATTGATCTTACCTATAGATTATAGAGGGCTGTTAATGTTACTAACACGAGCATCTAAAGGCAAAGAAAACAAAACAATAACGAAATATTTAATAACTTTTTTGTTTTTGAACGATTAATCCCTGACCAACACTTCATCACTCAAAAACTTTTAGATCATAAAACTGTCTATTTTATCCATTTCAATAAGAGCTCTCATTCCAAACTTTTGGCTACCTCGTAAGTAACTTGCAAAGACTGGAGATTTACTTGGATACGCGTCTCTCGTTTACGAGTAAGAATTTCATCGATTTATTGACCTCTCTTTCAGTATTTTTTGAAAAATTCCAACATAACTATAGAGAAGGATATTTTTAGCACTTGCGTTATTTGCTGCATTTTAGTTATTAAGCTTTAGTCTAATTAAATTTTGATGGAGTGAAACGAAATTGTGTCTATATTTTTGTAAATATTTCAACCGTCTAAATATACCTAATTTTAAGATACAGTTTGATGATAATCAGAAAGACGGTTAATGAAGGATTCGTAAAAGTAGGATCCCGTTTTAACCCCTAACCTGGCTAAAAAAAGTCATTGGTTCTCAACAGTATCTTCATAGTATAAAGTTCAAATTGATGTGATACTCTATGGATACCAGAGCCTGGTTAAGGGTTAACTCCTTGTTTAAGGACTTTGAGTATACATTTTGACACATTTGTTTGCTGAAGGTGGACTGGCGAGCCCAGGGCTTCAAGCCGAAGCGCGAAGAGCAGTGGAAGTGCGGCGCGTGCTACGCGTTCGCAGTCACGCACGCGCTGCAGGCCCAGCTGTATAAGAAGCATGGGGAATGGGGTGAGCTAAGGTAAGAAGGACTTTACCCTATAAAGACAATAGCGTACAGCGTAGGCACTTTTGATGAAAACACATTAGCCTTTTCGTTCGTTTCAGTCGAAAGACTTTACCACTGCTGGACACTGCTGCTGAACAAAGGCCTCCCCCAAGGTTTTCCACAAAAACCGGTCCTGCGCCGCTCGCATCCAGGCACCTCCCGCGACCCTCACCAGAACGTCGGTTCTAGTGGGAGGCCTGCCCACACTACGTTTTCGGGCTCGTGGTCGCCACTCGAGAACTTTTCTGCGCCAGCGGCCATCAGCTCTACGAGCTATGTGCCCCGCCCACTGCCACTTGATTTTAGCCATGATACTTCATGGAATGGATTTCCAATGAAAATTGATATAAGCATGTTTCAAAACATTCGCATTTTTAATAGGCACCGCACGTTACAAATTCAGTTCTATCAACAAATAAAGAATCAGTAAAGTAAACCCTATTGTGTAAACTCTAAAGAATGACACTCAAGGGATTGAGCATTTTTCGACGTTATAAAGAGTGGTCGTTATATAAACCAAAAAAGCCAAAATTTGACGTCATAAGGAGTTTGTCGTTAAATCTAGTAACGTTACAGTAGTAGTAGAGTAGACACTCATACGAGTCTACAGAGCAGAATGTATTATTTAGTTAGATTTCAGTAAGGCTAACACGTAGGTTTAACAGTCCCCAGCAGATAGTAGACTGCAGCAGCGCTGATGGCAACATGGGCTGCAACGGCGGGTCTCTCCGGGGGGCCATGCGGTACTCCGCCAGGGCTGGCCTGATTGCCGAGACCCGATACCCTTACACTGGGAAGGTGAGACCCTCATATCATCATCAAGTCACGTGTCCAATCTCCACTGTCAGAGCACTAAACACCGATTTACCAGAGGCAAGTGGAGGATTTGGCTTACACTCCCCTAGCTACAGATGTCAGATGTTAGCATATTTTCTTTCCTTTAGAAGACATCCACAGGACAAGTAGCAGTGGTCCTATACTCTCCATTCCTAGCTAGTGCTGGAGAGGCCTGTTTTTTACATATTTTTCCCATAGTCCACTTCATATACTACTACATCTATGGGAAGATTAGGAGTGGTCCTATTCTATTCTGACAGAATCACTCGGCTTACAAATGAACGATTTTTCCTATACTCCCCAAGAAGATCAGGCGGGTTGGGGAAACCTGATTTTCTCGATATTTGTCCCTCAATCGCCTTTTACGACATCCACAGGAAGAATGGCAGTGGTTCTTCCGATTCTACTTTGTCAGAATCATATACCTAATGGCTCGCATGTGCAATGTTGTAAGCTTAAACCTCTATCCATAAAGCCCAGGGCTTAGCGTGCGAGTTGTCCACTTATTATTCAAAATCAAAATCAAAAATATTTATTCAGTTTAGACCACAAGTGGCACTTATGAATTCAAAGTTGTACATTCCCTATCCAGAAAGGTCGCTGCAAGTATGGCCGCTCACTGGTCCGTGCCAAGCCTAAAAGGTGGGCGATGCTGCCTTCTGGAGACGAGGGTGCTATAGAGAAGGCGGTGGCCACCATCGGCCCCCTAGCTGTGGCTGTCAACGCTGCACCTTTCACGTTTCAACTGTATAGGTATGAACTTGGATTTAGGATCTTTACTATTACTGGTCTGAACACATTTGCTGTATGATTATGTAAGTATGATTGATCCAACCAAATTTGGCTAATTAAGTCCACTGACAATGTTCAGAAGAAGTGACGGAAGAAACTCCGGCACCTACGTTAGCTTTAGCTGTCGCTTTGGTCAAAATGATCATACCTACTACTGTTCACATTATCATGTAGGTACTGTACCTACGGTGTCGGTTCAAATTTTTCTACGACAAAAGATTTAACTGAGATTCAGCATAATAGAAGAATAATCATTGTTCAAGTTACTTAATTAAATACAAAAGTTAAATTCAAATTTTCTCGACCATGCCCTGCATTACTCGGGTTTCGGGAACAATGACAGTTGACTACAAAAGAATGAGGGCTTTCGCGATTGAAAAAACGTCATGTCAAAATCCACCAATCATGCAGCATTTGGACCTCCCGTCTTCGTATTGCCATCTGGCGGATTTTTCTATCGCGAAAACCCTCATTAGAAATAGTCATAATAACCATGCCCTGAACGGCTTTTCTTTTCGAATAATAATGAAAAACCACTCTTATACCAGGAGTGGCATCTACGACGATCCGTTCTGCTTTCCCTGGCACCTCAACCACGCCATGTTGCTGGTGGGCTACACCCAGCAGTACTGGATCCTGCTGAACTGGTGGGGAAGACGGTGGGGGGAAGATGGGTACATGAGGTAAGTTTTACTTATTTTACTAATTATTTGCAGTCTTCTGACAGCTTCTTAGTTTGGTCTACCAGAAGTGGCATCTACGACGATCCGTTCTGCTTTCCATGGCACCTCAACCACGCCATGTTGCTGGTCGGTTACACCCAGCAGTACAGTGGGGAGAAGATGGGTACATGACGTCAGTTTGACTTATTTTACTAATCATCTGCAGTCTTCTGACTGCTCTTTAGTTTAGTAGTTAGTCTTATTTACAAAATTTTCAGGAAACTGCTCACGCTTTTCCCAATAAAAATCAATTCAGTTTCAATTTTAGACCATGACGTTTGCTACGCCAATTGTGGCGTGCTAATGATAAATGAATAATAATGCACCGAATCGAAATCTTTAATGTAATCCACAACTCCTGAACATCAAATCTGCAATTCCTCAAGATTCACAACAATTTTGTTTTGTTTCAATTTACAGTCCGCTACGAGTAAGCCACATTTTATTAATTCGAGTTTATTAATGCATGAAATGCTATTCTTTCTTCTTTAATATCTGCAATACTAAAAGTAGAGCTAAGTACTTTTGATTTAATAAGTCCGTTTTTCAAAACCAACAAAATGGTAATAAACAGTTATTTATTAAATTGAATTAAAAGCTAGATTCCAGATATCGTCGCTTGCCTCTCTAACTGACGTAAAAATAAAAATTCAGCCCCTCTAGACAAAACGCACTTTTTGATCGAATCGAAAATCGAATCCGTCAAAACTCCATACAAAAAAGGGGCTTTCCGACCACTTTTCGACTGGTTTGCGATTATAATTTGCACTTTTTCTATACCCACAGGCGATTAGACAGATCGATTCGTCATGCAAAATTGATTAAGATGGTGTAATAACTCAATTTCGAAAAAAATGACAGATACGTCAGTTAGAGAGGCAAGCGACGACATATGCGTGCAAGCTCTACTGTTTCTTTTTTTACATATTATTATCGCCCTTATCTAGAACACATAAATTAAAATCCATTAGGCACTAGTTAGCATGCCAGCCTCTAAGTCCCTTTACTAATACGCATGTAATCCCGTATCCCGGTCCCGGGACTCTGATCCGCTTATCGTCCCGGGAGCAACAGGCGCGGGCGGACATGGATCAGTGGTTAGAGTTGGTCTCCTGGCGATTCCAGAGTCGATTTGTGCTTAACCACAGTTAATAATAATGTAATAATGCAAACTATACCTGGATGCGGGCAGCGCAGGACGTATCACGTAGGTATAGGTTTGTAATAAGATTTTAAACTTTTGCGTTCCATTTCAACTAAAATATAGAAACATGGGACTCAACGCGACATTTTTTATATGAAACCGCGAGCCAACAGTCTGCTTGTGACCACGGCTGCAGCATAGCAGCCAAAATGTCAAGTCGTGAGTACATGTAACTCATAAAAATGTTACTTTGAGACCCGTGTTTCTCTATTTTAGCGGCAATAAGAATTGCTACCTGACTTTACACCAAATAATTATCTACGGTTTACCTAACTAGTTATAACCATATAAAAAATATGCAAATTAACATCAAAATTATAAATCTTAATTGAATTTTGACCAATATTTGGCACTTATGAACGTCGAAATAAATAAAATTACTAAAAAGTATATTATATGTATGTACTTTAAAGTAAAAATCCCAACTAATATTATAAATGCGAAAGTAACTCTGTCTGTCTGTCTGTCTGTCTGTCTGTCTGTCTGTCTGTCTGTTACGCTTTCCCGCTTAAACCTCGCAACCGATTTTGATGAAATTTGGCATAGAGATAGTTTGAGTCCCGGGAAAGAACATAGGATAGTTTTTTATCCCGGTTTTTGAAACAGGGACGCGGGCGATAAAGTTTTTCTGTGACAGACAAAATTCCACGCGGGCGAAGCCGCGGGCGGAAAGCTAGTAATAAATAAAACTATCAAATAAATAAGTGTATCTTTACAGAATCCGCCGCGGCCACAACAGGTGCGGGATAGCCAACATGGCGGCATACGTCGAACTCTAAAATTGTTTAAAATATAAATATTTATATTTAGTATCAAGTAAAGTAAGACCACAGATAATATAATACGTAAGACAATCAATAAAACTATACAAACCTTCATTTAAATCTCTTTAATTTTAAAAATTATATTCGGTCTTATTTACTGAAATTGGTCCAGTGAATATCAAACTGAAAAGATAGTCACTGACGTACTTTCGTATTTAATAGTTACTTGTCACCATAACATTGTGAATTCCGTCAGATTATAACCTAACCCACTGTTAGTTTACAATCTCACGCGTTATATTATAAACTGACGGAGCTCACAATTTCGCGTTGATATAATACATAGTGTTCATGAGCATTTAAAACAAAGTCATAGTAAAAAAATACAAGGCAAAGTCCCCTTACGCAATCGACCGACAAGGTTCCTTGTCGATTCGGTCCTGGGTTCGATTGCCAGCAAAAGTGCGTGCACTGCTTATAAAAAAAAATGGTACGTTATCGGATAAGTTGGTAATAATAACGAAGCATTTATTTGCGTTTTGTGTACGTATTAAATAGTGTATCTTTTATTTTACAGCATTTTTAAACTCCCTCATTCATTATTCCCAAACCATCGCTAAACATCAGCCCGCATTCGAGTCCGGCGCAAACTAAAGCAAAGATGCCCTAGGGATGGGAAACGATTGCTTTATCGATGATTACGATATACGATAAAACTGCTTGCATAACTTCATTAGTTGCCACAAAAATAATTAAGTAGTTTCTGCCACTTGATTTTTTTGCCTAATTTGAGAAATAAAATAAATTTTAATGCACTTAGTAAGTTGTATAAGTATTTCACCTCAATTCAGAAACGAAAACACAGAATAAGTAATAGTACAGGTACAGAAGGATTACTCCGCAAGACGATTTAAATAAATGCGAGTCTTGCTGCGACGCGATACAGTGGAATTCAGCTCGCACAGCACTACGTACCTACAATTTTATTCACCTACAAGTTTTGTCTCTTTCTATCGCGTGCCTCTGAACTCTTCTTACGCTGTTAGGGTTGCTGTCTAGTGAAAAAATAATTAATCTACTTATATGTCATGAGGTACGTACCTCATGACACGTATGTATGTAAGTACGCATTCATTATGGAAAACCTTGGGAGAGGCCTTTGTCCAGCAGTGGACGTCATTTGGCTGAAACGAACGAACGCATTCTGAGCAGTAGTCATGGTAGGATAGGTTCCCATACTATCCTAAGAATTATTGATTACCTACATGGCCAACATACCTTTCAGCATCTTTGTGAAGCGAAAAAAAAGATAAATCCGGTAGATTTCTTTTCGAATTTAAACACCCGAACGCCGCACAATATTTCTTTCTCTTTATGTCCATTTTTAAATAATACTTCGATCATACAATTAGGTACTACAACGCACGCCAGCGTCCTGACGGGCGCGCGCGTGACACTCGACTGATGTACCGCGCGGAGTGAGCCAGGCCTGACGAAAATAAGCTTAAATCATATTTAAGTAGAGAATGAGGCTGAGCATTCTTAAGCTTAAAATCTGAATTCAGAAACCGGCTGTATATTTATCTATCTATCCTTCTTCGGTCATCCCTACCCAGCTATACAAATGGTGGTAATTTATAAAAGTTGCGCCCGCAGCGAGTTAAAATCTTAATTCATTTATACCAGTTTTCTCCATTCGTCCAGCGAATGAGAACTATTCCGGCGTTCGTTTGAACTACGCGTTTGCCCCAATTTACTAACTTAAGCTTTGTTCGGACTAGTTGAGTAATTTAGTAGAGTAACTAGCCTTTACAAACTCGTTCGTTCGTTTCAGCCAAATGACGTCCACAGCTGGACAAAGGCCTCACCCAGGTTTTCCACAATGCACGGTCCTGCGCGGCCCGCATCCAGGCTCTTCCTGCGACCTTTACCAGATCGTCGGTCCACCTAGTAGGAGGCCTGATCACGCTACGTCTTCCAGCCCGTGGTCGCCACTCTTTGTGTTCGCCACGTTTCTCAAAACATTTGACTTTTTTCAAGCTTTGACCTTTTTCGAAATTAGAAAATGGTATAAAATCTTCTTTTAACCAAAGGACGTCCATAGCTGGAGAAAGGCCTCTCCTCTTCAGCCAGGTCACCACTGGAAAGCTTTTCTACTCCAACGGCCATCATGTTTTTTAACCATGTCAAATTCAGATCTTGAAGTGGTGGTTAGGGCAAACTTTATTTGGACGTGTGCTTTGAAAAGGCCCTACTAATGAAGAATTTGAATTAAAATCTCCTGTCTTGCTCCACCACCTAACCTAATTGAGTGTGCAGTTGAGAAAGCGGTCAGGGAGGCACAAATGCGATTTATCTGTAGCCGAGTCACTCAGCCTGCACTCACTGTTTGGAGTTAGTCGAGTTTCACTCACTGTTCACTACGCAGTCCATGTCTAGTTAGTGAGTTAACGCCAGTCAAAGTTGGGAGGTTTCGTAAAAATACTGACACTACACACGCCTATGTAGTTACAAGACAGGCTCTGCATAGAACGTCGTCATCATTATCATTTCAGCCACAGGACGTCCACTGCTGAACATAGGCCTCCCCCAATGACTTCCACATCGCCCGGTTGGTAGCGACCATCCAGCGCCTTCCTGCTACCTTTATGCAGCTACGTACGCAAGGCAAACTTAATGCCATGGGACATTATATGCCAGTAATTGTAAGTGTATCAAAATTTATAAAACAATTTATCTATTATTACATATCAATTATTATCACAATACTGTCAAATATCTAACGCCCGTGTTCACAAACGATGCTAGCTTAAGTGAAGCAGCAAATCGAACGCACAGCGTTGAATAGAGCTCTGTGATTGGTTCGTGTGTGTGTGGCTCTGCGTCCACGCGCACTATGAGACCTGCAAAAGATATTTTTCAGGAATATGGATAGAGTTCTTGAAGTACGGAATAATAAAAAACACAAAGCTCAATACTTCATCACTTTATTTAACTGTATAATAAGTGCTATTTTACATCAAAACCGTGTACTTAGATGTGTTTTTCCCCTGTAAATGATCTTATTAATTACAATTAGTTAACAGTTTAATGCTTTATTTACTGTAAATTAGTATTTTCTATTAAAACCACCCATCATGAGCAGAGCGAGTTTCGTACCACATAATTTAGTTTTCTAACGTTCGTTTCGGTTCAGTTTAAATAGTTTAGTTAGCAAGCTGCGCGCTATTTATATAAACAAAACTGAGGAAATGTTTTAAGCTCACAAACAAACTGAACTCCCCACAGAAAAGAAAGATAGATAGATTAGCTGGATAGATATCTACTTAGGTAGATAGATCATAGACCTGTCTCAGAACAGAGGCCCCGGTTCGATTCTCAGTGGGGGCAGATTTTTCAGCGTGAATTGGTTGGTGATATGACTTGATCTAAGTCTGCCTGGCTAGCTTCCACCATTTTACCTAAGTCTGTAACTAATGGTCGTTTCATAATTTGATTTGTAGGTAGTAGAATTTTTTTAGCTCTACCTCCTTCCAGTTTTATTATCTCTATCCATTATGTGGGTCCTGAATATTTTAAAAAGAAACGACAGAATTTATCTGACTTAATTATTAACATAAAAGTAATTTAAATCAATCAAATCAAATCAAATCAAAATCCATTTATTTACTTGATAAGCGGTACAGCAGATGTCAATATAAAAATAGTTCGCACAAAATCACCACAACTGGCATGCTAATAGCTTGCAACTACTTAATTTACTCAATTTAATAGTACATGCGACAAAAACAGGATATACAATAAAATAACATATTCTATTTAAAACATCATTTATTAAAAAACCGGAATGAAATCATACAAAAACGTTCGTCAAATTCAAACAAATGTGTCAGCAGCTTTATTCATACGCGAGAGAACAACCAAAACGAAAGTTCACACGTCAAAATGTGCGAGCCGAAAAATGAACGTGGGTGTAACAGGAATTCATCGGACGCCGGACGTTTTTGAAACGGACCCGGACAGCTCCGGACGCGCAGAAATGATGGCGTAACAGTTTGTGGTGTGACCATGGGGCAAGGTTTTTGAGGACAGTCTATAAACATTTTATGAAAACATAATATCAATTTAAATACCGCCGATAATTATGAATTATCGTAATCTCAAACGACCCTCTCTATTTTACTAGAGGCAAATGGAAAATATATCCTCCCTACGCTGGACAGATGGGTTAAGCATTATTTTTCCCTTAGTCGCTATTTGAGACCCCCATGGGAATTATAAAATGGACTTTTCAATTAAGTACAATACAGTCACAAAAATATGAAAGTGCCAAATAGCATTCTACTTATAAAAAAAATATCTTGAATACTTCATGGACTTAGTAATTTCAGCGTGTAAGTTCTTCTGAATTATTACAGTGCAGTTTTACAAAGAGAAACGTAAGCGGTCCCATTTTAAAAAACAAATTGGTCACTCTACAAAAGGAACATACCACGCGGTAAAAACGAGACATCCCCGATTTTTCAACTAAAAAATGCGTCGGGTTTTTAAACTAAAGGACTCCATTCCCGAATGATTTTTACTCACTGCGAACGACAAACTATTTTCGTTCAAAGACTTTTAATTGGAATATAAAATACCTACACTACAGGCATTCAAACCTTAAACAAATACAAAAAACGTTTAATGCGAATAAAAACTCTCATTTTCTAAAATACGCCTTTTGAATTTTTATATTTTACCTATACAATATCTTTAACTGTTATTTAGATTAGTACTTACTACTATTTTTGAACTACTTTTTAGTACCACTCAATAGAATATTACTAGAAAGACAGTACCTATGCTAAAACTAGAAGTTTTTTAAGGACTAATATGAAAATTAATTGTAACTTATCTTTTACAAATTTAATTCCACCCGCCAATCCAAAGTTCACTGCCACCATCTCAAAGACAGTATTCCAATACGAAATAATGAGAAAATAAAAATAAAAACAACGTTTGGTTTCAGCTTC